AGAAAATCACTCACTAGTACCAGATCCAATATAAAGTGTCTCGTCTTGTTCAGCCAAAGTACATTTTCTGAAGTGTCCCCAGGTAGAATAAAGATAATGAAAACTAAATAAATCAATTCACAGGACTGAGATATGCTCCTTAACATTTATTGAAGTGCAGAGTGTCAGAAGTAAAATCCTCACAGATGTTTAGAGATTAACAATGTCATTTAGTGTGTGGCAGCTAAAAGGCGTGGGCTCTTACAGTAAATAGCTCTGGGAAACAAAGTGGCACGTATGCCTTCTTGATGAAAGTCTTACATAAAATGACACATAAACCTAATGGAAGAGCAGGGATAGAGATATAGCTGAAGGTAGACGCACTAATGGTTTTTGGAGATTAGTGGACCCAGAAGGTGACTGTAATCTGTTGAGAAGACAATCCATTTTCTCTTTACCCATAGGACACAGATTTAATAGATAGTTAGTGTGGTCCACATTTCACTAATCACCTGTAATATCAGTTGATCACATTTGGCCCAATTGCTATTTCACTGTCAGGAAAATGTCAGCACCGCCATTTATCTTTTACTGTATGCTCCATTTGCAAGACAAGTTGGGTCGTTTTGAATTCCTCTTGTTTGTATGACATATTACATTTATTCAGCCTTTTTCAAGTAGTCCCTCCCTGTGGTAACCTTACTGTCCAGATGGCTTGTCACACAGAACCATCTGGGTGGTCGTGATTGCAAACTGTTTGGAAAAGTACAGGCACTTTCAAAAAATACTTGGCATGTGATTGGATGAACAACCATTGTTTTTCGAACAGTCACTTCACATACACGACGTCGCCCACACCTAATGTTAGACCCATCCATCACTGTCTGATGAGGAACTACCTGCCAGTACTTACTCATCAGACAGTGACTGCTCTAAACCACTGTGGTTCAAATCGTGGTCTTGCGGGTCCAGCTGCCTAGTTAGGTTTGAGGACATCTACCTGCAAAAACATACACAGAATTGGTCACATATTGTAGTCTGTTATGGGAGATAATGATATTGAACACCTAGTCACTAACATGGTTTATACAGTAAAACACATCAGCTGTCTGCAGTGGCAGTACACATGTGCGCGAGAACTGTTCCATCAAGAGCAGAGTACAACATAATTGGACACAGCAGTTTGAGGAATAATGAAAAAACCTGAATGTAAAAGGCAATAAATCAATTACTGTATTTCCTCTGCCAGTGTTGCTGTTCTCTGCTCCACTGAGTACATATAGTCCTATTAACATTATGATCTTGGTGACATCTTGACTTTGCATTGTGCTTTGGCAATATACTGTGTAGAGAAAAATTTTCAGTGACATTTGAGGCATTTTATATGTGTCATAGTGGAGACTAGTTATAGTGAGATGGTGGAGCTGTAAATAAGTAATTCTCAGACATTTTAGGTGTTTTTATATGTTGCTGTGTCAACATTCTGTGTCAAGTGAACCAACTAAACTCCCTGGTGTTTTGAATGATATTGAAGGCATAAAAGTTATAATTCTTAGTTTTGGTTAAACATTATTTTTTAAATATTTGTGTCTTGATGAAATTTAATGAGATGAGCTTAACGATCTTTACCATTTACATGTTTATATTTTAGGCATTGTGTTTAATTTGGATTTGCACATCATTGATATTTTATGAGTTTTATATTTGCACTCTTTTCTACTTTGTACTGCAACTGCTGCAACAAAAAAAACCCTTTGAGATAAATACAATTTTGTATCATCTTCTTATCTTGAGATCATGATAAGATAAGACATGAAATCAGGTAAGATAAGATGACATGAGATGAGATAAAGTGATGTGAGATGACATGACATGAGATGGGGTGAGAGTAGATTAGATGATATGACATGAGATCACAAAACATGAGATACAGTTACATGATATTACCTGACATATTGTGACATAAGATCGGATCAGATGCCATTGGATGAGATAAAATCAGGGATCAGAGATCACGGGACATGAGGTAATATGACATGATAACATGAAACTAGATGACATGAGTTGGGATTAAAGACATTTAAATATTACTCACTTTTTGGTTTGATGTAATAAGGTAATATTTACTCCTGTATATACCAGTTTTCCTTTATTCAACCTTTACTTACTTTTCAGGAATACAGTGTTTACGCCTGTTTGGCATAGTAACTAGCATGATCCTATTATTAAAAATAAATATGCAGACATGAATAGAATTATTGTAAAATAATTGGTGTCTTTATTATCTGGTTAAAAACCATTAAGGTCAACAGAACAGAACACAGATTTCTTCTGATAATATATTCATTCCTATTATATTCTTCTTCTCAAAGCTCAGCAGTTGCACTGTTTCAAGGCAGTTTAACTGTATAATCCAAATGTACATATCCCCTAAGACCACATAATGATGAAACATACACTCAACACCCAACACCCTGCAGTCCAATTGCAAATACTTGCAAATACAATCTGTTTCTTGTCCTAAAGAAGCTCTTTGCCAATGTCAACCTATTATTGAACAAGCAGTTGAGAATGATTTGTATCACCAGTGTGTTCATCATCCTCAATGCAACTACATTCAGTTCAAGGTCTCTTCTGTCTCCTCTTCTCAAGCTGTTGATCTGTCCCACATCGCAGAGCTGCTGCTGCAGGAGAGTACTTCGCCCCAGAGGCAGCTCTACATATTCCTGCTGGCTCTTTGTTAGACTTTTTTCCAGTAAGCCCTCTATTGTCACTCTGCTGTCATTCAAGTCCACTCAGTCCAGCTATAAAGCATGTGTATCTTTGCACTTGTCAGTGTATTAGATTTCAGCTTCCATGGTTGCATTGTGTCTGCAAAAATATGAATGCAAAACAAATCTTGCTTGTAAGTTATTGTTATTCTGTTTTTTTTCTTTTCGGCAGTCTTGCTTTGACAAGGCAATGCTAACTGTGAACTTCTAAATTTTTTAGGAAAATCTTTCAAAAAGGATTCAACATACTCTTCTACGTATAGAAATATACCTATATGGCAACATAGCAAGAATAAGAAAATCACTCACAGAAATCACTTTTTCATTTCTAAACCAATAAAAGATGCACCCTGAACTCTACATCTTTTGTGGCTTTTTCTGCTTTCATGGCTGTATGTAGTTTACTAAAGTAATGCTGTGATCCTTTTGAGATTTAATATGGTGTATTAGTATAGGTGCAAATGTGAGGAGATAAAAGAAGGCAGTGAGTCAAGGATGTGGGTTTCCAACACTGTCATGGAAGGTTTCTCAGTTTCAAATTTCCAGGAGCATTAAAAAATGTCTCTTCCTCGTCATTCATAAATTTAAACTTACAAAAGTCACATCTAGGATAAGTAAACAATTGCAAGAGAAAGACTGGCAACAGAAACAGCCGCTTTTTTTTTATAGCATTGATGATATATAAAGTAGTTTGATCTCTGTAAAAGACATGATGATTACTGGATACAGTAATAATGTTCCAAACCCAACAAATAGTGTCTTTAGCCCTTTCATCCATTTGAGCATGCAATCCAAATGGTTTGATAATTTGGTTTATGAATCAACTGCTTCTGCTGGTTAAACTCAGTGATACAAGAGTCATATTTGATTCTAGATTGAATTCCAGGTACTCATTTTAGATGCAAAAGTCCACAGGATGTGTTTTTCTCATTTCTAAAGAAAAATTGACAACTGACATCCTGCACTGGCTCTTGTGGCTCTGGCTTATGGCCTCATTCTACGGTACTGCTATTACCTAGGGTCAGAATACAGCAGTCAGACTTTTCACTTCAAATTGAGAAAACATCCTATAACCTACATCTAGTAAGTCTACATGGGTTCATTTTAATTCAGATTTCTAGGAACTTAATGGGACATTTGTAGCACAGAAAAAGGACACAACCAACTTGAGGAACTTGGCATCATTAAAAAAGTACTTTTCTGTATACATTTATGGTTGAATACTTACTTAATTAATAAATCAGTTAACACAGTATTATAGGACCAGTGTGTAGGAATAAGTGGCATCTGGTGATGAAGTTGCAGATTGCAGCTCCCGTGCTTCACCCTCTCCCTCCAAGCACAAAGAAGAAACTAAGGTGGCCGCAAAATGCATGAAAAAACATAAGCTGTCGTATCTAGAGCCATGTGTGTGGTTTGTCTGTTCTGGGCTACTGTAGAAACAACAAGAGAGATTATACACTAATGAAAACAAAAAAAGTTATGCAAAATATATATTCCATTTCTGCTAACAGATCATCTTAAATTGTACACACTGGACCTTAAAATCCTATTTTAACTCTATATGTAGTTATTATTATGCAATTCAAGGCACTTCGTAATTGCCTACATGGTCCAATTATGGTCCCATTATGGTCTATATATGACGTCTCTGGGACTATATAATTGTATATAATTATGTAGTTCCGATTACTGGTTCCTAGATGTCACCTGGAGGTTTTAAAGATTTTCTTTAAAATATTTCAATGTCATGTTTATTGGGATGTATAAAGGACCTGGCATATGCCTGGTTTTATACCAGTGGAAAATTCTTTGTGTACGTACTTTTTAAGTTTTGCCAGTACGCCTTCTTTCAGTATGAAAACTGTGCAGTCTTTTATACACAAGGCCCCAGATGTTTTAGGAAATTACTTTTTCAAAAATTCGAGGATGTATATTTGAGCCCATTTTAAAAAATGTACGTCTTCTGTAGGAACCAATGTTCGTTGGCCTGAGAGCCACAGAAAGGAAGTATAAGTACTGAGAGACGGAACATTATTTGTTGTTTTGGTCATTTTATGGAATAGAATACAATATCATAAGCCTTATCAGACACAGAAGACTGAATAATAAATCATAAATAACATCAATTTTCTGATCAAAAGCAATATTTTGTAAACGAAGTTAAAGCTCTACTCAAGGTAGAGTGTGTTTTCCTCTCACAAAACCTTCACTTACCCCTACAGTGTAAGAATAATCATTATGAACAGATTGTCACAACATTCTGTCTTGGAACTCCTTATTTTTATTTCTCATTAGCAAACTGTCAGAAAATGTCTTTTTTTTCAAACAAGCAGCAAAGAACATTGGTAGGACCATATGTTTACCCATATTTTTTTCACATACAAATATCAAAGTATATCATATAGGTGGTGGTTGAACTGTATATAAACATATATTTATGTATCAAGACAGACATGTTCACACATGAAAACACTTTTCATTTCCTCACATCCGTCTTGTGGTGATTGATTGCTGCCTGTTCGGTGCAATCTATTTGCAGATTAGCAATGAGCCAGAAATAACAAACACCAATATCGTCAAAATAATCAGAAAGATATATAGAGTATACACTGCACTGCATACACGTCATGGCTCTATCGTGAGGTATTCTTCTTTTCCTTCAATCCCTGATGCTGGTTATTTGCCTGCTCTTTGTAGTGTCATTGAGAGGGCTTTCATAACCATCACACATGAAGACAATATGTGTTCCTGTTTAAAGAATGAGCTGCTTGGAGAACCATGGTGAATTATCTTCAGTAACACACCATAATTGAAAGCATGCATAAGTAGTACTACTGAACCACACACACCGTCATTAATATAACACAGAAAATACTTATTTCTTTCTTATATTTTGTTAGGGAAAGCAAGGATTACATTATCATTATTATGATTTATCAAATAATCATAGACTTTAAAGGTGCCATGTGGTGTTTTCTCTCAGCAAAACGCAATGTGTGTGCATTAGGTCTAACAAACTTGTTGAGTGCAGGTCCTTTCTCATAAAACTGGCGCAAACCCATAAATATTTTAAAAATCATGAATTTTTTACATCCATGTTTGCTTAGGTTTGTTGGTGCATTGCCACATTCCTTGGGGCAGCACCGCTAATAATGGCTGATTACGGTGTATGTGTGTCCTCTTTGTGACTCTTAAAAACATTGCTCCATAGCGCTACTAGTGGTCGAAAACTCCACAGGGAACCTTTAAAATGTTGGCACTTAACACATCACGTACTGTAGCCTGCCAAATATTGAACAGAAAAAATTAAATGGCAATTATTTTAGTAAGAATATTGTCAAATAATAAAGAAATACACAAACAAGAGTGAATATAATATAATAATATAATTAATTAATACAAGGATTTCCATCAAATGATTTTTTTACAATGAATATTTATCAAATATATGCACTCTTAACTGTACACATTTATGTTATCCTGCTCCAGTTTCATCATAAGCACGGTTCAATAACATGTCACATGTTGAGGTAACAATTCAAATGTAATTATATGTGGAAAAAGGGCAAAAACCCAATAGTATCAAGAGATAACACTTAGATCAATGCTGTACATCCTTGACAAAGCTATTACCTTTGTAAAATTATCATTGTGCGAGAAAGCCAGGCCTGCGCACAGCCATGATAGCTACTCCAAAGTTCTCCCACTGTAGCAGAGCATAATCGACATATAGTACTGTTATGTAGAGGAGTCATGTTCATGTGGTTCTGAAAAAAGACAGCACATGGCCCAGTGTAGAGCAAAAATGGATATTAAGTATAGATAAATATATATATATATATATATATATATAAATCCACATTTGATTCAACTGATGGTGAATCTCTCCCACTTTTTAATGTTTCAGCGTTCCCTCTTTATGTACCACAATATGCATATGATATGTGCTCATGCATTCTGTTGGTATGGTAAATCTCATTTAATTTTGTCTGCACTTTTTTTCCCCCCAAATCCCACTTCTGCTAATAAATGTAACATTCTTCTCTTTGACATGGCAGTTTTAAGTGTTCAAATTCCATAGTCCCCCTGTGAGGAAGCAGAGAACAGGAGAGCACATGGAGGCTTTCCAAATTAGCTTCCAATCCTCTTCCCCTGCCACTCCATGTCACAGCCATTGGCCCAGCACAACTGTCTCGGGAAACTAGAACATGCACTTTGACTGGAGGAAGCTGATACTGTTCTCATCGCACTGCTTTGCACTTCGCCCTTGAGATGTGTGCTATTCTAATCTGGGTATCTTAAATTACCAAAGATGCCACAGGCCTTCTTTCTTCCTGCAACTTTAAAAACTTCCAAGAGTAAGAGTAATGTTCAGTGAACTCCTTAATAAAAGCCTGATCGAACTGCGCCACTGTGCCATTCATTGAATGTCACCGGTGTTACATCACCTGCAAAGAGAGAATATGTGAGCAACAAAAACACAATCCAAGGTTATTTCACATGAGAGACTATTATATTTTGTTTTTTGTCTGTGCTCTTCTTTTCTCTTTAAACCAGGTGAGGATCAGCTGGGGGTGAGGGGTATTGTTTAATAATCAGTAAGATTTTCATGACAACACAGTTTTTGATACTATCTATAATAGCCATTCAGTATATTAACATTCTGTAGTTACCTCTCTATGTATTCATTTTCATTGTTCATGGTGAGTCTGCCATTTCCGTGCTGGATTAAAATTCTCCACACACTCAAGGCATTCACTGGAAACGATGCATGCATGTAAACCAATGTACATTTTTGTAATTCTATCTCATTGATATCAGCCTCACTATTTATTTTTTATTTTCTATTTATTTATTCTTGCAGGGGGGTAATGGAACCAGTAGGAGCAGCCACAGTGAGCTGTTAGGTGAACAACTGCAGGCTGCTACACCTCCAACTCTTCAGCAAAGTAACCAACTTTACCATGCCTGGTTTTAGTTTGGAAAACTTTATTAAAATAATTTTGTTTGGCTGCACTGTAAACAGATACACTAGTTGCTGTTTTGGTGTATTTCTGATAAACTAGTGTGCAAACTTCACTTGCTATTACCACGGTTACCGTGGGTATCGCTAAATCTACCACTGAGAAAGGATTGCAACTTCAACAATAAAGGATGTTTTTTTCCGAAACCTTTATTGTTGCTTATTTAGTCATCAATATTTAAGGTTATAGAACAGTTCTTAGGATTTTTAAACCCAGATTGTGGGAACTATTTTTTTATGTACACCATAATACACATTCATAACGGATTGCAGGTACATTCAGCCTGTTTTTCATTGTCCTTGAAATGCAATATATGATTCTCCAGAAGCCTCAGATCCTCTGAAAGTGCACTGCACAGTCTCAGTTTGTCTAAATCTGGGATACCTTTTCCAGGTCCTCCATGATGAGATCCTGTTCTTTGATATCACTTCTACTGGCCAAGCACCCTCCTTCCTGACAAAAACACTTCCCATTCCCCACTAAGCCTGATCTGACTCCTGAGCCTGATCTACTGAGGGCAACCGGCTGGACTGGGAGCACAGCGTTCCCCCGGATCCGATGGGAGTAGGTCTTCTGGCGCTCAATGTCAGCAGTGCACAGCTGGAATTTGAAAGCAGCCTGAAAGCCTCTGCGGAAGTTCTCATTGAAGAACCCATAGATGATGGGGTTGACACTGCTGTTGAAGAAGGCCAGCCAGTGAGCTAAGGGATACACGTAGATGTTAATGACACGATACTGGTGCTCTGTCAGACTGGCATAGTCACTCAGCATCATCAGCGTCCACAGGGGAAGCCAGGATAAGATGAAGAGCAGAGCCACAACCAGCAACATCATTATCACCCGAGTCTTCTTTTTTGAAATTGTGTGACGACCCTCCATGCTCGATTTGTTGTTGCCAATGCCTTGCCCAGACCCAATTCCACTGCCCCTCATTGGAGGAATAGTGGTTTTTGATAGAGTGAAGCCGATGCGGGCGTACATGATGACAATGAGGCTGAGAGGAGCGAGGTAGATGTTAGCAAAGAGGACAGTGGTGTAGATCTTCCGCATCTCCTGATTTGGCCAGTTTTCCCGGCACCAATAGAAAGGGCGAGTGTCGTTGTTGTGGCCAAGGACTATCCGCACCCTCTGCTCCTTTGTGACCTGAAGCATAACCCCAGAGGGACACATGATGGACACAGCCAGGACCCATATGATGACGATAATTAGCTTTGAGGTGGCGATGGTCAGTTTCTGCTTGAAAGGGTAGACAATGCAGCGGAACCTGACACAAAGGGGATTGGAGGAAATGCATAAAGTAAAAGAACTCTCTTAGGATCACACACACAAGCACATAATAGCCAGTGATGTTATAACAACACTCACCTGTCAACAGCTATTGCCACTAGAGTGAACACGGATGCTGACACAGATATGCCTTGAACCATACCGCTTAGTTTGCAGACTACACTGCCAAATGGCCATCCTGCAGGAGAGAGAAAGGATGCTAAAATTGTATGAAAACATAAAAGAAAATCATGAGTGAATGAATAATTGAAATGCTAAAATGACTTCTAATAGGCAAGAATCAGACTTGCTTTCCCTTTCTATTGCCTTAGAATTTCCAAATCAAAGCCAATAAGAGAGGAAGAATTATAATATTTTCTGACCTGTTATGATGTTGTCCACTAGTGTGGTTGGCATGCAAAAGATGCCAACAAGCAGGTCACTGATTGCGAGGTTGAGAATAAACAAGTTAGTGACTGTCCGCATGTTTTTGCTGCGCAGCACAATGAAGCACACCACCCCGTTGCCCACCATGCACACCACGAAGATTAGCAGGTAGGAGACGGTGAAGACTGCAGCCACAGAGGGCTTGTGGAGGTAGAAATCAACATAAGTGATGTTCTGGTGGGTCAAAGGGTTTTCCTGCAATCTTGAGAAATTGGAAGGGTTCAGGCCCTCCCAAGTAGTGTTGAGAACCGTATTCTGTGTCATGGTGATATCTGAATGGAAGACAGACAGAGAATTAGACACAGGCAGAATAAAACATGGATGTGCTCAGCATGCATGTGTTCTGTGTTACACATCCAATATCCTCTGATACAGAATCAACCAATTAGGAAGCTGAACATAATTACACACATCCTCTCAGTGGGAGTGCAATCCTGCAGACCAGAGGAAGGAATCAAGTGGCAATTACGTAAAACAATTGAACCTATCCAAAAAGTCAATAGTCCAATTTTTGTGTCTTATGATTATTGTGGTGACTTGATTCAGTCAAGGGTATGCTCTCTCACACTCTCTAATAACAACATGCTGACCAAAATGACCAATCTGTTCTGAGAGCAGGGGGAAAGTGTGGTTGATCGCTTTGGTTACATGATCAATCATCCAAATCCAGCATTCTGGGAAGAAAATGAGGTCACTATTGTGATTACTACTTACATGATGGGTAAATTTTACACATCTTGACTTTGATTTCTCAAATTTTCTGCAGATTAAGACCAGGCTTCCTGCAGAATAATTAAGTTGAATTCAACTTGTGCCATTTGTTTGATGTATTCACTTCTTGCAGGTCAACATCTGTGCAACTAAAGGATTGCCGAATCAAAATGCAGCCTTTTTCGTGTGAAAATTGTGTATGGATAGATCAAAGTAGGCCAGGTATACTCAGTGGTGAATTTGAATTGATGTCACGTTATGAATCAATAATTAACATTTTAATAAATAATTGCATACATAAAAAATTTAATAACTTCTGATAAAATGTAATAGAATTTGCTTCAAAAATTACCCGGTGAAATTAATTATTCTCTAAACCCCTCAAATTAATTTTCATATCTAAACTGACTGTGCTGCTGTATTTGTGTTCGACTCAGATTCCCTCTGCAACCTTTGTGTTTCTCAGTCTTCAAAAAGATAATCCAAGGAAAGGAGAATATGTCATTATAGCTGCACTGCTAAGTTCCTGTCTCATAAAACACATACAACACATAAACACTCATTATGCTGCTCATTACTGCAAAAACCAATCAAGAACTGAATGTTATACTCTAAGTCTAGCATACATGTGGAATTCAAACCATCTGTGGATGAGAGAAGATCAGTCTGTCTTTTAATCAGCGGAGCTTTGGAAGAAATTATGGATTGTTTCCCTTGAAACTACACAATTGTTGTTCTTCTAACAATTACGTGGATGACTGAGAAAATGTTGGAGCACAATTTTATAAAATACATCTAGGACCAAGAATCAATTTCTGGAGATCCATACTTTAACTGAGCTTTATATATTCCTAGAGATACAGAGAAATCAGACATTTTTACCGCTCTAAGTTAAGTTACTATACTTCATAAACAAAATAAAAATAAAGATAAAATCACGCCAAGTAGATATTTTGTTCAATCTTTCTGTGATAACTGGAGGACAGACAGTTCAATTTAACTGTAAAAAAGTCTTTATTTTTTCTTAGAAAATACCCTATTTTTAAACTATATGCATAATCAATTAATGATGGCAATGGGATGGAAAATGCCATTTTTTTCCAGAGGCAGATTTTCCCAAACAATTCTACGCTAGAAACTTATTTTCTTACCTTATAGAAAACTGAAAATCGGAGTCGTATTCCTTTCCTCTGTCTTTAGAGATGGTTACATCCGTTTGACAGAAATCATTCAGAGCAAAAAGCAGTGCGCTCTCATCCCGACATGAGACCCTGTGCATCTGCTCAGTCCTCCTGCCAGGCAGAGAATGCTGTAGTGCTTATAGATGACAGAGAGGAGATGAGATTCACTGGGGAGAGATGTGCTGGGAGGGGTGCAGGTGCTGAGAGCAATGCATGTCTGGAGGCGTTGTGTGAATTGAATATGGTGTATATAGCTGTCACCTTATGACAACTCAATGAGTGGCACAGGTTGGGCATCCGAAGAGACTCCGACGCCTGTTTCCTTTGGCATCAATAAGTCAAATAGGTGTTGGGGAATGTCATTGTTCATCTTGGATCAACCCTCAAGCTAGCAAGTATTAGTCTGCCTCAGTGCTCACCCCTGCACTAATCAGGTCTTGCAAAAGTGAAGTCTCACCTTTTACTACTCATATCTAAGTCTAAGCGGTGCAGTGAAGCCTCTGCAATTGACTTAATCAAACTGCAGAATTTTAATTGGGTTTAAAGTACATGTTGGCTAAAGCATTTCCATCAATGCAGGCTGCAGCACGTCCCACAAATTATAGATGCATAGATTATGATGACCTGCGCAAAATAAACACAATAATGGCAAACCAGAATGACTAATGGCATGTGTGAGAGGAGACTGGCTCGGATGATAAGCACAGGGAGATGATGGAGTGAGAAGCTGGAGTGAGATTTATTGAGGGGTCAATATCTGATCAATGCAGGAGCGAGAGGTGAGAGGTGAGAGGTGACGACCGATTGAGCAGAGTGATACGGACCAGTGTGGAGCAGGTTGAGTTAAGTGAGTTGATACTTGATAAGAGGATGGCTGCTGCTTGGCTTGAGGAGAAAAGAAGATAGAGTGGAAGAAACAACAAGGCTGCTTCTGTGGTTGCCATACAAAATAGTTAATTACTGTCAGTGCCGACGCAGAGAAAACCCTTTAAGCTACTGTAAATGTAGTTGCTGCAGAATGCTTAATTAACACGTTCAAATGCCTTTAGCATAAATCCTGTCAAAACTGTAGGGACTCTCTCTTTAGAGAGAAGTGAGAGGGAGGAAACATACTGTCGGTTAGAGTTTGTCTGAAGTATGTTAGACGGGGAACTTTAAAATAGAGCTTTCAGGGTGTACTGAAATTTGTCTGCCACATTAAGTTACAAGTGTGTGTGTAGGTGTGTGTGTTTTTGGGTCAAGGACATGGCGAATATCAACGATGCAAAAGTAACACATTTTCAAAGTTGCTCAACTTTTCCCATCTTTGCATTTTCCAGCTCACTGGGGGTTAGTCATTGTTAAATAGTACTAATTATACACACTCCAACACACACACCACATACATATAATATACATGCTAGAAAAGGGCAAAAGCAGCCGGCTCTTTCATGCAGTTTAATGATTGCAAGACTATTGTGTAGTGATCATCATCAACAACCAAGTTCCCATTGTTGTTGTTGTAAGTAAAATAAAATAAGAAATATCAAGCTGGAATTGTCTCCCCCTCTCCTTCCCCAAGGCTATTGGCCGATCACAGTTTCTTACGGTGCTCTTTTTTTCTTCCATGGCTGCCTGCACTCATCCCTCCAGGCTACAATTCTGCTTTGTGTCCTGTATCTCCCCCTTCGGTTGGAAAGTGCTGATGTCATAATGTCTCTTGTAACTCATCATTACTTTTCACCTGAGTGACCTCGGCACGGGTGTTTGATCTGTGCTTGGGCCCATCTAGATTTTATTGGCAGCGTGTTGAACAAAACATTTTTCATTCAACTTTTTGATTATGTGATGTATAGTATGCAAAAAAAGATTCATTTAGTCTGTCCTCAGATGAAAATCCACAAAACAAGGAGAGGGGAAAAGAAAAAGAGACTATATGAATTTATAAAGCCACAGGAGGATATGAGGAGATTTAAAAACTTCTCTAATTCTCTACTTCTCAGTTCTGTTAAAACTTTGACAGGAGCATCTGAAAAAGTTCTTGCTGATCTACTGTCATTGTAAGGGAATGAGAAAGTAGTAAATAATGCTGCTGTTAATGAAAAAAAAAACCTTTTTTTTCTCTTTGTCAATGTCATAGCAATAAAACCCATGAGTTAACCTATAGATTTGTTATATTTGTATTGTAAAATGCATGGCCTTGTATCATAGCTTAACAAACTATAGCAGCATAAACCTTTATGCAAGCTAGAACTATTCAGCTAAAACTGAAAAACATATAATACTATCTGTGATACAGTGAACAACAGAAAATAGATATTGACAACAGCACCGTTCACACAGCAGGAAGGTCATTAGTTTCCCATCCAGCTGGGATCTTTCTGTGTCGAGTTTTCTCCCAGTATCTGTGAGGGTTTCATCCGACTCTGCTAAACTGGGAACTCCACATACATTGTCCATGTTTGTTTGTCTATATAACCCTTTTCAGACACTGCATATAGCATTGCTTGTTTCACCAAGCATCAAGCTGTTCAAGACATGAGTATTTTTTTAAGAAAATGTTCCTTACTGCTTAATTCAGACATGGCATGGAGTGTTTTTGTTCTCTCGCAGGCTGCATCAGTAATGGGTTTTAAAAAACGTATTTTGCAGCAGAAGCCTTAATTAATGACCACTCTGAGCGTGAGGGGTCACTTGTCTCCACGTTTTTATGGCCCATTTGGACCAGGAAAAAAATAGATAAAAATAGGCATGATTAGAATAAAATACTCAGGTCAAAATGTTGACTTGTCTCATAATTTTTGTTTTCTGACTTAAAACATGAGCTTTTTTGTTTTCGTCACTTCTATTTTTATTATTTTTTCCCTTTTCCTGCTTCCATATAGCTTGACGTTGTGGCTTTTTCGTAATAGTGACTTGAATACTTATTCAGAGACCAATGTTTAAATCTGCCATCGCATTTACATTAAGATCTGCATGTCTGAAAGGGCCTAATGTGTTGCCGTGGTGATTGACTGGGAACCTGCTGGAAACCCATCCAGAGTTACCCCTATTCCTATGCATTGCATGCTGGTGTAGGCTCCTGACTTTAAAAAAAAACATACAGTTACTGTAGGTTGTTGATATATGATAACCCACCTTTCTGTGCAGGTCAATGTTTAGGCATGCCCAACATTTGACTTTGTTAACTGTTTTGCTTGATAACTGAATGTATAAATATGGCCATGACTGACAATGACCAAGAAGCTATTGTCTGATATTGAAACAGTTGGTTTAAGTGGAGACGATGCATTGTGCAAGTCTTCTGTTAATAGATTTATTATTTTTAAAACTTTATTCAAGTAAAAGCAAAGAAGATACACTTTAAGTATCAAAACACTCACATTACGCAGAACGGTCCCTTGTCGTGTTTCGAATTATTATCACTGAGTAATATGTAAGCAGCATTTGCAGCGAGGTGGAGCTCATTTCATCAGCTTATTTTACTGTTAGACGTTTAATCTATAAGAATGCATCATGATATAGCATACATATTGTACAACTAAAAACAATATTTACAACTGTATAAAGCAGCAAAAAGTAGAAATATTCATCTATCAAATAGAACAATAATTACAGGCCTCATGAGTCGAAAAGAGCATTTGCAGCACGGTTTTCTGCTCCGTTTACCTTACTATTAAACTGTCTAGCTCCCCCTGAGAACTAATTGAGACATGTTTTTTCACACCATATCCTTTGCTTTATTTGGATTGCACATACATACATTTGGCAATGCTTTTGTTTTCTTTTACACATTGTAATGATAGTATAATTACACAGCATTCTTGTTGTCATCAGAAAAGTCAGGCCACCGAACCTGAGCTGCACTGTTTGTGCTGTGGACCACCCTCGTGATCCCTGCAAACATCACTCCTGCAAAACTTTTCTTTTAACATTATGTGTATATGAGAATTCCAATAGATAATTATTAATTAACTGACATATATCAACAAGAAATGCAGAGAAACTTGCAGACAGAAACTAAAATTAAATCATTAATATAGAGTGGTTTTTAGATGTGACACTGTGAATAGCAAATTCATGATTGCCTTGGCTGGAAAAGAAAAAGACATTTTATTTAGAAAAAAAAAAAAAACGGACTGCATGTTAACACCCAGGGGGAAAACACACTAATGGCTACTCTCGAATGAGATATGACACAGTCAGCAGAGCCTGGACAGACAATCACAGGACATTGTTATTATGAACCTTGGAGACCATGTCATGGGAGGGATGGACAGTGTGTGTTGAGAGCCAGCGGGTGCACTGTCAGTTTATTAAGAGTGTTAAAGCTGTTAGGGGAAGAAGCTACTGCACAGAGCATCTATTTCTACTCCAGGAATAAGTTGTTCCGAACTTATAGTTTTCACATGTTCAAAAAGGTTATTAATAATATACTTTGATAATAATGTATTTTACTTACCACTCATCTGACCAGACTGCTGTACTACACTGCTTTGGTTATACTGATAAGATCTTGACTCAGAGATCATGTATATCACATATATTGTCAGAAGTCCATCCAGCTGTACCCACTTATTCTTTGCAGGGTCACAGGAGGCTTAATAAATGTCGTTATACAGTATAAAAACTGTGCAGGATATATATTTGAGAGTAATAGATGATATGAACATGTTAAAGCATGGTGTGTATTTTAAACTGTAAATGTATAATTTACCACTTGTATGGATGGTTTAGTCTTTTGGCATACAGTGTTCGTTAGCGCCTACGGGGAGTAGTTAGATAAGGTTGTGTCCAGGGTGTGATGTATCTGCAGTGATGTTTCCTGTCTGTTTCCAGACTCTGGAGATGTACTATTCCTGACCGAAGGGCATGATGGCGCCAGTGATTTTTCTCTGCAGTCCTGACAGTCCTTTGTGGTCTGTTCCTGTCCTGTTTCGAGGCCGATCCAAACCAGACTGTGATTGATAACCACACACCAGACTGGATGATTGCAGTGCAGAACTGGATCAGCAGCTCTTGAGTAGTGTTGGGGGAGCTCCTCCTGAAGCCCACTGTCATCTCCACAGTTTTGGGAGTGATAATTAATCTAAATTAATGTTAATAATTTTGTTCTCTCTTCACAGAGGTTAAATCACACACAGATACCAACCATTAAGGACATTTCAGAAGATAAAAGTGCTCTGCATCCCAAGCTTAAAGTCTTGCCTCATACAGGTCTTTGACAATTACCTCAGCTATCCACTATGGAACCTATATCTTATATAACTTGATGGATTATTAGAAAGTGAAAAACTAAAGAGTATTTATTAATGGAGTACCAACATTTATAATTATAGGACAAAGTGTGCCAAAAGGATTTTTCACAACCTAGCCACCGAAAAGTTGTTCTTAATTCTGATAATGCTATTAGTTAGTATTATTAAATGGTTTCCAAAACATTAATAAAGCCAGTTAGAACGCATAAACCCTGGGGTGGTAGGGTGGGTAAGGGTGGTAAGTAGAACCAAAGTCTTTGAGTACTCATCCTTTTGTCATTTTAAATCAGAGTACACATACCTCCTGCACACATACATTACATTAATTTAACTAAGGCTTCCTCTGTGACAGTTCATAACCAACAAGAGATGATCAGAGATCAGTCTTTTTTATTAAGAATGGAAATGTGTAGAAATCAAATACAATTACAGAGCTCCAATGTCTTTATAGTGAAGTGAAGTTATTGGCAGTTGTCTTGGTGGATTGCATTATATTCTAAGGTTCATGGTATGTCAGTCCACCTTATCCTCAAAAAGGCATTGCAAGACTATTGCATTGCAAGATAACGGGTTTATAATATTGTGGAGAAGAAAAAAACATTTAAAAACCTTTCAGTATAATGCAATTCAACACCATACGACTGCAAAGTGCAGCCTCAGACCATTCTATTGCATTAGATTGCATCACATTGTACAGGTGTTTCTATTTTTCTGTCTCAGATGTTGTTGGACATGTTAACCACTGATGTCAGCAGAAATTGACTTAATCAGGTTTTTCTATTTGGGTTTAGGCATGTTTGATACCTTCAGAGCAATTGTGAATGTACATGTGCCTTTGTGGAAAGAGTTACTGCTGCCCCCTTGAGCCAAATTATAATGCAGCTTGCATTAAACACCATACGATGCAAAAAATACATATTTACATATTGTATGCGCTGGTTATGGATTTGCTAGATTTACTATTGTTTACATAGTGAAATGTTAAACTGTATACCTGACATTGGCAGTATTCAACAGAATGTAATGTTACAAATCTGTTATTACCCTGATGAAGAGGTTCAGGATGTTTTAAGGACACGTGGGTAATCCCTTCCTGAGCTCTGACGTTCACACCATCACTCATATTCAGTTACTCGGGCAACACCTGTAATATCCAATAATATTAACCCGAGCAAAACACATTGACGTGCTCTCCCATGCCAGGAGTTAATTATTACACATTTTTTTCCTCTTGGCAATGACAAGAACACAGCGGCTCAGAGTAATGAGCCAATTAGTTTCATTGCAGCCGACTCAAGTCCTGTGATCGCGGAAACTATGCAGCCTTCCTTTCTTATCTTTGCTGTGAGACTGAGCACTTGCAGCAGAGTGTGATGATGGTACTTACAGCTTAGCTCTTTAACCCAATTCATCCCCTTAAAAACCACACGTGTACTCCGCGTGTCTCCCAGACCTATTGTTGTGGCACTGGCAGGAGTCTAAAAACACACTGACTTCTTAACTGACATGTATGCATGCATAAAATGCACATTTAGGAGTAAACCCTCTGTATGTGGTCCGGATCATATCTACATGTCAGAACACACAACATTGTTTAAAAGCTCCGTCTGTCATTTGAAAACATCCATTGGGTGCTACATGGTCCAAACTCTTATGATAGAAACAAAACACACAAACAACAATACATTTAAGAATCATTTGGACTGTTTTATTGCTCTCATTCAAAACACTGCTCCATAAAAATAAAAAAAAAAAAAAAAAAAAAAAACACACTGATATCTGCTTCCTTCTGAGTAACCTATTGTTATTGAGTACATAAGATGCTTGTATAAAATTGGTTTCAGAGTTAGAACATGAAAAATATTACATCAGTTGTGGAATCAGAACCGCAGCCCAAAAGTCAAGATGTACAGATCACAGAACAAAGTGGAAGACAATGTGGTTTTTACATTTTTGGTTCAAAGTTTAACAGTCTTGAGCTTCACATCTTGACAGCATATTGATGAGATTGTGAAAGCATTAATTAAAGCCCTTATGTGCACTACAAATCAGAAACATCACTGATTTTGAATGTCTTCAATGTTCTTCAAGGAATATATGTACATTTCAAATGATTGAGATGCATTACACACACACACACACACACACACACACAGATATGCAATCATATCCTAAAATCAACTGAATCAGTTTAAGTTACAGTGTATACTTCAATCAGCAAAAAAAGCATGATCAAGTCATTTGAATAATACAGTAAAATTTAAGACATTGCTCATCAAACTGTCACTAAATGGAATTTAGATAATGATGCATTGAAAATGGTGTCCAAGCAAAATGTCGATTTTAAAATTAAGCTGTTGCACAAATACCTTTGACCCTGTACACTACAAAGCGATACTCCCAGGATTGGAAGTCACAACATTGCATTGCCTCACAGTGATTGTTGATTTGCATAAAAAACAAAAACAAACATTACATAATAAAAAATAAAAAAAAGATGGACATTTATCACATTAACAGCTTTTAAATAGGATCACATTTTAAAAGGAAAATCAACTCAATTAGGTTTTTAGGGTTGAGTTCACAGTTAACTGTGTGAGAACATTAAACTGCATTTGTTCAGATGGGTAAAAAAGGACAGGCTGTAACTTTTTCCTCCGACTTTGGTATATGTTTTATTGATGGTCTTATCAGATAATTTGCTGTTGGGAAAAAAAAAAAAAAAGTAAAATATAATTGTGATGGAAATACCCTTTAAAACACTGCAAAATCGTACATAGTTATTTCATATTGACAAACAAAAAAAAAAAAAATACAATATTTTAAGTGTCACAGGGAAAAAGGGAAGTCCAAGTTAAGATTCAGAGATCCTATGCAGTGCCAGTTGAAAAAAATAAATCAGTGTTTGATCTCAAAGAATTGCACGACAGATGTTTTTAAAATATAATGCCTGGCACCTACAGGAAAATAAGAGGTAGAGCTAAATACAGGTATAATACATCTACATCTCCCTTAAACAGGGAAAAGACAATCGAGTGGATACAGACCACAGAAAGAATATCCTCAAATTTGGACAAATGGGGGAAGTTAAATGGTAAAGTCATACTTAAGATTCAAACAGCAAATTATTTTGCTAAGAGTTTAAATATAATAAATATAGAAAAAGGGGGGGGAAAAGAAAGATTAGGAAACAAAAAGAGAAGTTCAAGTCTGTATGTCGCTGAACCATTTACTTCTTACCATACTGAGACATACATGGCATTCTTACAGTATCTTCTGGATGTGTTTTATGAATATGCAGCCTTAGATGGGTGCTTGATAAATAATGAATATACCCATAAATACAAAGTCAATGTCCGCTCATGACAGATGACTTTTTGTAGGCCTTTTGTTCACTACAGGTTAAAGAGGATGCGTATCCCCCTGTGCTCGCCTCCAAATGCAGTACCTCCACTAAGTTTTAACCTAAGATTCCAGTAGTCATGACAAACTCTACAACAGAAAAAAAAACCCCTACCATATAAAAACAGTACTATCAGAAGACAGGCTGGTTCTTTGGAAACAATCATTAAAAATAACTCCTGATATGTACAAAGTGAAATAAAAGCTGGTGTGGATGCTATGAAGCGATCTGTAGTCTCCAACCTACCCAACCTACTTTATCATGAACATCTTTTATGATAAAACATCTTTAGCTGGACACTTATTATAAATTATTAGCAAACACATCAATAAGATAAGATATTAATGTCCCATAAAAACTGCATACGGATGATCTTGAAGTAGCCTTTTTGTTTTCTGCAAGAACTCACGCAGATGAAGTATGCTCAAACGTAGCCCTTAATAAAATTCAGTACCACCAAAGTGTTTCAATTTTAAGACAAATACTTCCAGCCATTCTGATTTAAATCCTCACATGAGGAATATTAAAAACACCGTTACAAAGCGGTACTATAGTACAAAAGAGGAGGGGTCTGTTTGCTATGTTGTGCTGGTTCTGCTGGATCTTTGGATACTTTATTCACAGATCTGTTTCAGAGCTCTTCCTCCATAAGAAACCGTTCTCCTCAGAGTTCCCGCCTATTCGAATCTGAGGCAAACCTTTCGTGTAAGAACTTTTGTCAAGACTGAAAGAAGAAGAGATGGAGTAATATAAATATGGTGTTGTATGAACTCAAAATCACACAGTTTAGAATTACTTCTGAAAAAATTAAGTGATGCGAAGGCCAACTCGTACTCACTTACTCAGCCACCGTGGAAGAGTCGAAGTATCGCTCAGCACGGCGAATGCGTGTTAAGGAAATTCTGGGATTTATCTCCTGGGAGAAAAGAAAAGAAAAGAAAAACACTTAAGAACATACTTCACAAAACACTGGAGATATGGACCAGCAGAAAAGAAAAGAAGAGAAAAGAAGAGAAAAGAACTTGAGCACAGAAAAGGGTTATAATACTGACAGAAGAGCTTGAGCTGGCGGTGGCGGCAGTGTTAAAGCGTCATTAGAAAAGCATAGTGGTCCTTTGAGCATTACATTTGTTAGTGCATGCAGGAGGACTAGTATGTGAAAACGTGAGCATGACGCTTTTAGAAGCAAAGTTCAAGCAGTACTTGAAAGCTATGGCAAAGCAAACCCTGGCTAGTACTCACTATCCAAAGATTTATCCCCCAACATGGGCTCCTGCTCCATCATATCCATAGAGATTTTTATAGTGGGGACATTTTCATGGTAGGGGTAGTCAGACTGTGGGATGAGGGAGGGAGAACATTAATACAATGGACGTTAAGGATCTACAGGAGGCTGTAGACGAATCACATGACAACAATGGATTTTTGGTACAGGCCTACTTAATCTAAAAATAAAGGATATTTAAATACGTAGGTTGAACAAGTACTTACAAATTCAATTTCACTGTCGATGCTTCCCTTTTTTTTGTTTTTCTTTTTCTTCTCATCCTCTTTCTTCTTCTTGTCTTTCTCTGGGATGACATCATCCAGGTAGCTGAGGTCATGTTGGGAGAACACGTAGTCCATCGCCTTACGAACAGCAACCAGTGCCAAGATCTGCAGACAAGAGATAGTGTGATTAGCTTTCACGCCCAGACCGTGCGCTGTGTGTTTGTGCTCAGCTGCATCAGTGATTGCAGCCATTTCTCACCATGACAGGGAAGATGATGGCAGCCACAGTAGACTTGAGGATCCAGAGGAGGGCCAAACACACGGCCTGGATGAAGGTGAAGAGGTGGATGCGTCTCTGGGGGACGTGTCGCAGGTAGATCAGATCCGGCTGGTGCTTGGCTGGCATCAGGAGCAGCTGCAGGCGGTCCATGAACTGACACGAGCAAATGGGCAAACAAGTCAGTCAGGTCAAAAGAAAGGACATGCTGCAAATGTCTGTGTAGAATCTACAAGATGCTGCAGACATCTTGTATTTAATATGAGCTCATTATCTCTTTAGTTTATAGTTGTTACTGCAGGCCAATTGAGTACAAACTGTTTTAAAGCTGTATGCAGTGCTAGGCGCTGACATGTTTGCAGTAACATAGTTACCTTTACCAAAAACGAGTAGTGTAGAGGATTGCAGTTTGAAATGTAGTACTAACTACAGTTAATATACGCAGTAAAGCTCCATTAGTTCGAAACATTTACAGCAGTTTAAGAGAGGTTCAGTATCAGTTTTGTCGGTTTAAGTGTTGGGAGGCATTCATCCTCTACCAAAAGTCTTACTTAAATGTTCTGTCTTAACTGCTAACAAGTCACCAGTAGCTTTACTTACTAATTGTATAGCTTCTGGCTAGCCTCCAGCAGCTTTGCTTGCATTTAAATGATAAGCCTTCATTGCTGAGGCTGGAGGATGTGTGAACAGGAGTGCTGCCGTCACTGGGGCCAAACTAACGTTAGCTGCTGATAGTCAGTAAATACTTCCTAACTGTAGGCTGAACAACAATGTCGTTTCTATTTCTACATGTGTTAAAGATGAGGAGGGTTTAAAGTTTAAAAAGGCACCTTTGACGAAGCTGGGCTAAATAAAGCAATGACACAAAAGTAAAGGAACAAGTAATGTACTTATGTTTGTTGTTATGTAATTATATTAAAAGTAATGTAATTATTTAGTAATGAGTAAAATGTAATCAACAGGTCAAACTCACCTGGACACCATTGAGTGATGCCACACCCATGTAGAGGAACACACCGTAAAGCACGGGCATGGGAATGAACTGAAGGACACAGAGCACAGTGGGAAAAGTTATTAATGCAATATGTGACTGGCTGTAGTAACATTTAGGTTCAATACAATCTAAAATGTGAAAAATTGAAAGGATGTTGGAGTTCTCTTCATACAGGTAATGAGAATGCTTATTTTTAGTATCACTACTAAAAATAGTCCACAAGCAGCTTTTCTAAGAACGTTCTTTTAGTAGGCACATCAGTGTGCCCAGTCTCTCGGCTGCCATCGGTGCAGGTTGGGTACTGCTGCTCATTATTGGCATATTTTTGCACTAGCTCAGCAGACTGTAGTGGATTTTTTTCCCCACTGCTTTAATGTTCCATGGCTATCATAAAACTGAAGCAATATTCCAGCCAGAAGTAGATGAAAAGATATTTGAAAACAGCTTAATTCATCATTTTATACAAATCATTTTTGCATCTTTCCCAGTATATATTTATAGTGTAATATACTATAGTACACTTTAGTATACTGGATGACAAGCCGGTCTGGAAAGTAAAATGTATCCACAGGCCCAGAAGGACAGTATATAAAATGTCCACTAGAGGGAGTACCAGCTCTAACAATCTCCTCTGTGACTTCACATTTTGGTTTGGCAGCTTAATGTGGGAATGGAAACTCAAGAAGGACCTCAGCTGCAATCGGAGCTTAAGCCCTGATGAACATGCTTATTTTTTCACATCGCATTACTTCAACTATGGGAGTCCCTAATCGGATGAATAAAAGATTTGAAATTATTTCGAATTTAAGAAGGGTGACAGGAGTTTGTCCGAAAAGGGGCGGACAGTAATCCATATTTCCACGGAAGAATTAAGAAGTTTGAGCACTACCTTGAGGATAGGGGCCATGAAGACGGAGAGTCCAGTCAGGAGGAAAACAAAGATACCGGTGACTCTTTGCTCCCTGGATTGGTGGAAAAATACAAAATTAATCAATAAGACTCACACAAGCATGAATGGCAGTACAAACAGTTTGTTCCAGGTTTCTATAATGATAGTTTAATCCATAGAATCAAATTCACCAAAGACAATATTGCATCTACAATAACACTGTAAGCTTGTTTTCATATAAGAATGTCTCTTTGGTTCCCAGGCTTAATTTTTAACAGCTGTAATCACAAAATGGGGCTTTAAAAAAGGTGCAAACTTCACTTTCAACAGAAAAGTTATGGTTAAAAATTAGATTACATTGTTTCTGTTGTGTGTATGTACACTTTTGGTATGAAACATTACGGCCCATGGTCCCATAAACTTAGTTAAGAGATTCATTTACGTCTGGAAATCCAAACTAAACAAAAGAAAAATCCTTTTTTGCTTTGGACTGCTTTGACTCTTTAATTCTGACATCAACACTGTGTCCAGCAGCTGTTAACTCACCTAACACCCAGGAATTTGGGCTGCTCCCCGGGGGCTGAGGTCTGGGTCTCCATTTTCAGAGAGTCAATGTGGGCGATGGAGATGACGGTGGCAGCCACGTACCACGGCAGGCCCATGAAAGAGCAGACAATCATGAGGATGGCCACCCAGAACAGATCCAAGTGATAGCCTGCCCCTTTCTGAGAGGATACACGAGGAAAGACAGCAGAATAATGAGTTTGTCTCGGACAGTGAAATACAGTATGAGAATGCATCTTAATACTAAATCTATACTAACTAAGCAATCTCAGTATTGTCTGAAATTAGGGCGTTTCATTTTAATATTTACATTCTACAATTATCTACAAATATAATAGCATAAATTACATTTGAGTGTTTTAAGTTAATTAAAATGACGGGATTTCACATTTTTCCCCATCAGAGAACCCTTTATTTTCACTAGTTTTATTGTTTAATTAATTTTAAAATGTTTAAAACATTGATGCGGAGCACTAACCTTGAGTTTATGCTCTTTCCTGTTGACAATCACAGCAGTGATCTGTTGGTCCATAAATATCAGAATGGTGACCAGCAGAGCGGGGAGTGCGGCTGCCAGGTACACCCACCAGGGGTTTCCTCCAAATGGAGGAATAAACCAGCCCCTCAGTGGACTTGTGGGCTAGACAAAATAGGAGGAAAAAGACTGCTATTGTGACCTGGACTCTATTACATGGAGACACCAGAATAGTGTATCATCTTATTTATACAGACATGGATAACATCAGTGGAACAGAAAAAAATAGCTGATTTGAAGTGGCGGCTCTACACTTTCAGAAAGTCTTAACACTGAACCGAGTCTTAAATTACTGGTGCACATGACAGCAATCTGAATTAAGACCCTGTGGTCAAACAAAGGTAGCTCTGTACTTGCAACTATAAGATCCTCTGTGTTCTCACATCACCTTTAATCAAGTTATTTGAGGCAGGTACTCGCTCCTCTACCCCATCATTCCCTTCCGCTACGTCAAGGAAGGGGGGGGTCTTAACGCCAGCTGAGAAACATTTGAGCTCAACAATCTCCAAGACTGAGTGTGCCTTAGTTTCAGGTAATGTGTATCACTTACTTTATAAACCACAAAGAAAGCACTATACTGGGATTTTAAACAATGTCAGCTTTCTAGCAGAAACGGGGATCATTATCAGTGTAGCTGCACCTGGCTGCATGTTGTCAGCTAAAAGCAATCCAGTGCAATGATTTCTAACACAATGAAATGGTAATGTGAAAGTACATCGCTTTTCTATTTAAAGAACTTCTTCCATGTGTCAGGTATATACCTTGAATTCACTTGGCACAATGAGCTTTGGAGTGTTCACACCGACGAAGGCGTCCACGCCGCAGAAGAGAAGAATGGTCAGGATGATCGCAAAGTCACTGATGAGCTTCCTCACCTAGAAGAGGAAACATTTCCATAAGGTTTGAATAATTTTTTTTTTTGCCTGCGGCAGTATGAACAACTGGCTCCAGTGCCAATTTTCTATGTGTTGTATGAGAACTAAAACCTGTTAAACTATATATTTGCAGATAAATGCTGGCGGATATTACTTTGCTAAGAGCTTTTACTGCAGCAAGTGCAGTGAGTGCAATTATATCGGTCATTCGTAGCAAGTAAATACAGTTGTTCACCAACTGGTGACTAATAAATGTTAATAATTGTGGCTTTAAACCAGACCAGAGGCTGATGAAAGAGACAAAGCAAATTATTTGAAAGCAAAAGAATGGAATTGGTTGACATTTGGTTCAGACGTTCCAGTTCCAATAACTTTGGTGACTCTGACCTCCCCACAAAGACTCTTATTGACACTTGACCTTGGTGATTAAACTGAGAATTGCCAGTTAACTGTTTGGTGAAAACCGCAAACATCAGTAATGTTACAGTAGCAGTTTTATGTAATGCGTATGGCTTCCGGCATTAGGCGCAGGAAAATGGAAAAAACACGCCATTGATGGGTGCTAACACTCACTGTGGTGGGAAAGAAGCGGCTCGTCTTGAACTGCTTCAGAGCCATGGAGCAGGTGTAAGTCCCAAAGAACAGGATGAAGGACATCAGGGTGATGTCAGGCACAAAGCCACATGTCTCTCCGACCAGCTTCCCTCCGTACTTCAGACACTGCTTCCTGGTCAGGGACGCCCAGGTGGCGTTTACTGGCTGGAGGGACAAGGACAAAGCAATTCATTTAACCAACCAGCAACAATATTTGGAGAAAAATTAAACTACAGTTTGTTTGTTTTTTTATCCTGAATCCGTGCCATTAGTGTCACAAAAACAAGGACACTACATACCAGATCTGTACTGTTTGTCCAGGCAGAGACATCAATGAGTTCTGATGAGTTGCCTGTAAAGAGAAACAATGATATCTAATGACAATAATTTTATTACTCACAGTATCACACTTGCCACTTTTGCTCTGTGTCAACATTTCTGTCCTTAACAATGCTGCCAAGTAACTCGCGACACAGAAACTGATAGGGCTGTTGAGAAGGTCAACAGTGGTATCTCCAGGCCAACATATATTAGTATCATTGGTTATATCCACTGTAAAACACGTCAAAAATAAATCGAAAGCTTTGTTTAACATACAATGGTAACATCACTGCCAAATGGGACAATACCAAATACGACTGTTCAACTTTCACTGTCTGGTATCACTGGTGATATTGAGATACTGATAGCACCCCCTAAACAATAAACAATGAGTTATTGTTTAGGTAATAGATGGTAGAATGGTGATATCAGACACTGCCTATGTTACTGGATACAGTGAAACCACATATAATCTATCTTTATGTGATTTCTCCTAATCTTCTGCAGCAAAGGTGAAGACTACCTACCCGGCATGCAATGGCACTCGTACTGAGTGACGAGATTGGAATCGTAATCCGAGTTGATCGGGTTGTAGTGGCCCAGCTTTATCATCTTTTTGAACGCGTCGTAGATGAAGATGAAGCTGATGAGCGCAGAGAAGCCTTCCTCGGTGAAACGTGTGAAGTACTGCACCAGGAAGCTGGCGTCTGTGGCGACCAGCACCAGACAGAATACAGCCGACCACAGGCCGATCCACAGCCGGAACTCTAGGTAGTCGAACCCGTTCTCTCTGGGGAGGAGGATGGATTTGGCACGGAGGTTAGTTGTGTGCACTGTGTGTATTCCTAAACCTCCATATTTTATTTCCAAGCAATTATAATCCCTCCAAGAATTCACATTGTACTTTCACACTCCTGTCTAACCTGAACTCCATGAAGTTTTAATGCTTTGCAAATAATAGTTATGCTGTGGAGCCCTTCAAAATAAAACAATATTAATTCTGAAGCTGTGAAACACGGCAGGGCTTTGCTCTATATGGAAAACATGCACCTATACAACAGCTGTAGACACACCAACAGCTGCCACTGACTCAGCAAACCGTTGACTTGAGGCATGGAAACATTTGGAGAACACAGACGCGACTACATTCTTCACTCAGTGTAAAATTAAATGAGAGTGAATAATTAATAATGGAACATAAACAGCTTGGTGTTTGGTAATGCTAGAAGACTCTCTCTGGGGGAGGAAAGGAGTACAGTGGAAGGAGGAGGGAGAACAACCTTTAATAACTATCAGGTGTTGTGAAATGACATGTTAAATCTGCACAATAACCACTTTCCCAGAGGCAAACAGGTGGACTGCGTGTGCATATTAATGGATAAATAAATGAATGGATGTGCATTTCAAAATGTCAGAGAATGCCTTTTCTCTAGTCTTTTGTTGAATGTACTTCAATACACAACTACATCTGGTTCTACACCAGGATGTTGCGTTCTTGTCCCTTAATCAATCAGGACAGGAGGTTGACGACAAAAACACATGGGAAATTAACATTCAGCTGGCAAGTGTACCTGCCAAGAGATTTACGGGAAGCACAAAAGGTTCCAGTCAGATACTATTAAAATAAACAAACCTTAAAGCAAAGTTGCCAGCCTAATGTAAATGTGAATTATCTGCATTCCTTGTGCTTTTATTTTATTTATAGGAGGCACAAGGATAGCAGTTCTGTTAACACACAAAACAACATCTGTCCTTTGGGCATTGACAACATATCTATAAATATCTCCCAGGCTGCTGCCTACCGTTTTTGAACTCTGTTTTACCCTCATTAATACTACTAAATTGGACTTCGATCAGTAACTATACTCACTTGCTGAAGTTGAAGAGGAGTCTTTCAAAGACAAGCACCGGGCCTGTGCTGCTGAGAATAGTCAGGGGCTGACCAGCCAGCAGGCAGAACACTGTGCCCGTCAGTGCCGTACCCAGGAAACTTTCCAACACTCCCTGCAACATGGAAGAAAAACACATACAGACTTTACACACAGCTCATGGAGCATGTTAGGCCTCAGAAAATATACAGAGGAGAAGAGGCAGCACATTCATATGTTGAGCGTCATGGCCTCAAGAAGAAATTGTTTAAGAGACACATTCTTTCATCAGTATGAAGCATATTTTTAAATACATTTCTACAACCATTTCTGAGCCTTGAAACATCAATATTATAATTCTGCTTATTCAGCTGGAAGCTTTGTTTTCCCTGTACACATCACACAGCTGCAAGGCAGGCCCTTCAGGACAGGCCTGTTTCATTTTCAGTCATGCCAATTGTGTATGTGTGACTGTGTATTTTAAAAGCCTACTGCTACATAGATATAGAAGATGGATGAGTAATTGACAACTGGGCTGGAGTGCAATGAGGTCAGGTCAGGTGAGTGTAGGGATTCCCTCCGCTGCAGTGGATAAGGTGGGGGGTCACTCAAAACACAGCCATGACGAGGCTACAGTGGCTGAGTAATCTGGATCTGTGGTTATTTACAGCCTGGGCAAATCCCTGAGGCTGGTGCTCTGCAGGTCTGCTAGGATGCAGCTCTTTGCCAGGACAGAAGCCAAAGCCAAGTAATGGAGTGACTGCACAGCCATATACATTCAGCTGTCAGGGGCACCCAGGATGACTGCAGAAATGTATGCTACTATAACACAATTGTATGAACTCTTACACATGGAGTCCTGTCAACAGCAGGTACAACAGATGGATGCAGTATGAGCCTTTGAGCTCCAAATTAGCATGTCTTATCAGCCGAAGTGAACTCCTTTTGTTGTTCATTAGTTTGTGACGTAACACAGAGAGCTATGATAGAAGTTTAAAATTTCAAACATTATATTCTGATTTTGGTTACATAAAAAAAAAAAAAAAACTAAATGTGAGGGGGAAAAAATATAAAGAGGAAATTAATAAATAAATATAAAAGACTACAAGCTACACAGTTGTTCAGTAGTGAAACATTAGGTTAACAGTAGCTATACACGGACATAGCATAAGAGCCAATTTACCAGTACTTATCAGATATTCAATCTAGTTCCTTTCACACTGAGACCAAAATAAATGCTCAGAGTCACACCTCAGCAAAACGCAGTCTATTTAGCATCTGTCATTAATTAGAATCTATCTCGAAATAATGAAACATGCTATAAGCCGTTTCATTTTAATTTAGTACATTGCATTTTTGGTCTCAAATGGAAACATTTATGATTGTTGAAGGGGCACAAATGCAGTTCAGTTGACTTGTCATGAGTACTACTTGCTCAGTGAAATCAATTATATATTATCCTCTGTAGCTCTGGAGGAAGCTTTTTAAAGTAAAAAAATAAAATAATAATAACTATGACATTATCAGGGATTTCTATCTAGCTGCATTATGGGACATGTAATATTGAACCACACTGCGTAACTTTGTCAGCAGTTGTACCACAAAACGGTTCAAGGTTAACAGAAGACCTGTTTTGTCTACAGTCAGCTGGTGCAACAGCAGTATGGAGCTTTTCCTTTGAATGTGGACCACAGTATCGCTACAGAAGAGTAAAACCAAATACCACAATAAAACCGGGGAGGTTTACCTGCATGTTGTCTGTAGCGTCACCAAGTAAGCCACCAAACGTGATGGCATTGGTGACTGTGCCCAGATAGATGAACAAGATGGTCGACAGAGACTGGATATGTAGCGCGTCAGAGAAGTCACTGGCAAAAAATGGCAGCTTCCGTTTGATATCCAGAATAAGACCTCCACAAAACCTTTGAGACAGAACCATTCGAGTTAGTAGGTGCATCATTGTTCCATTTTATGAATTGCCTTAAATCAGCTTTATAATTGACACATGATGTGCATACGGTAGGGAAAAGATCACTTTGGAAATGTTTTTGTCAAAGTTTCCAAAGAAAGGAGTCTTTGTTTTGAATGAAGGAAAAGAAAAAGGTTATCTAACAGCAAAAGTGTTTTCATTGTTCTTCAGTCATGTGTGAGTGTTTCCTCATTGGAAGCTCCCCCAATGATTAAATAGGCCAACACTTCAACATTTTCCCAAGTTGTGATTTTTACTTTAGAATGCTTATCTTCACAATCATATGCCATCAGGATAATAATCGGAACGATAGTGCCCTCATGGAGGCCTCAGTGCCACCTAGTATGAAGATCATGGCAGTGATTAACTATACAGTTTCTTTTTATAAAAACAAAAACAGAAATGCTTATTTAGACAAGAACCTCTACTGCATCTGCAATTAATTACTAATTACTTTTTAGTGCACTGAAGCTCCTCTCCGACCTGGTGTCCTCCTCCCCCTCCATGTCCCGCATCATGGGGAGTGTCACCGTTCATCTGAGGCGCCTCTACCCCGGAATACATGTTCTTCCTTCGAAAAAACAAAAACAAAAAGACAAAACACGGTCACAATCCATAAACTGTCAAAACCACCAAATAATCCAAGGGGTAAAATCAAATATGTATTTTTATACTACATATAGAGTAACTATGCTCAATCTGAGTGCAACCTTTTGTATTTAGTTATGGCTCACATTAGACTTAAACATTAAAAATAAAATGCACTTTTGCTCAGTTAAATAGACTGAGGGGTTTTTACTGTTATAGCCTTACTTGGTCTGGTAGAACCGGTAGGTCATGTTAGCTAACTTTATTTAAATATGGCTGAAAACTGACATTACTGGGTTCATTCTCTGACTTTATTCTCCATTTATGTTACTGTTACAATAGCATTTCAGCTATAGTCTGAACAGCAGTATTAACAACATTTAACATAATCTAATAATTGTAACTTGTAGCTGCTATTAAGCAAAGTAATGCGGTGATGTAGAGAAGGGAATTTTGCATGGTGTCAAATATATGTTCATATTACACTCCAGAGAGATTTGTAATAGATTTATGTGCGGTGACTTCATTCATTTTGGATTAGGCGTTGTGGATTAGAGCAGACCTCTTGTCTGAGGAGGGCAGAGACTTTGGTGGCTCTATCCTGATGTCAGGGTCCCATTCTCCGGGGGGCAGGACGATGACCTCATCCAGGAACTCCTCGATACCAGCCAGCAGGTCCTGCCTGTCCTTTGCTTTATAGGCAATATCATGGAATACCTGCCAGCAAACAAACATAACCAACCTTAAATTATTTATACAGGGCTCGAGACAAAAAGCACAAAATGTGCAACTTCATTAGTTCACTGAACACTTTGATTACTGGGACACAATGTGTAGCATGTCATCGAAATGCAAATCATTGCAACTAACCTCACCTCTGTAATATTGACAACATCAAAGAATTTTCTAAATTCTTTTACAAGGTAAACAAATAATGAGTAATTATCTGTTTGAACCTCTGTACCACAGGGACAAGCAGGTAGAGTACTACTGAGCCACGAGAGCCGATGACTAACACAAACAACTGATGAACCTGTGACACAGCTGTCATGGGAGCTGAGAGGTTAAAGTTTAACCTGAGGAAATCCTGGAAAAACACTTGCCCGTGCTGCCGTGTTGACATATGAGATATGCTGGGAAGAGTTGAGGCCTGTGGGAATTTGCTTTCAGGGCTAAGGACGTTACGATCTGTCTGTTAACATTCCTGACAACACGGACAGGTTGAATCAGGAGAATTACCACACCACAGACACAAAGCAGACAGAGCTGAAAGGACTAAAAAACTAATTTTATTTGCCTTTATTGTTTTGCATACTGCTGACGCCAAAACAAATTTGTCTCCCACAACTCCAACACACAACTGAACAATTAAGCTATAAGTTGGTCACTGCCAGCAGGACTGAGCCGGCAAACTGCTGTGATGATTAATACAGCAATATCCAAAGAGCTGAGAGATTTGGCAAGAGGACAAGTAGGAGGTGTAAGTGGACAGCACTCTTACACTAGCAAATCAGTGCAACTGGACCTTATAAATACTGGGAAATTAGGAAATGGGGGATTGAATTGTAAAAATTCTGATGCCATAGCTTTCCATCTAGTCTTGTTTATTAAGGTTTTATTTTTTTAATCTCTGGCACATTTCTTATACAGTACAGTAATATATAACGTAGTTTATTAGTTATTCATTCACTGTCTTTAGACTGAGTGGAGAGATATGAATCTGTATCCTTAGTTCGAGGCTAGCGACTTCCAAAACCTCGCTCCCATGATGCCATTACCTCAGGTTCAAGACCACTCAGGGCTTAATTAGTCCGAAAGGAGCTTAAAGAGAATGAGATGTCTTGCGTGAGAGCAGCGAGGATCAATTTAGTGTCCTGTTGCTTTACAGTTCAAAACTCATTAAAACAAAGCTCATTAATGGTTGTTGTAAATCTTGACGCACAAAAAACACATTATGGCACTCGAGGATAGCCATCTTGCATAGTCTAAAGAGCGGATGGTAAAAGCAGTGAAAGTAAACAGAGTGATAAAGTACCTCATCGGACATCAAGGTGGCAATGGCTCTTCCTATTTCATGATAGGACTTTGCTTTCCCTTTGGGGCCCAGCAGGACAAAGAGAAATCTAAGCAACAACAAGAAAGTGAGATGTTAGAACCTTTCAGAATCCAAATCCGATGGTTTTAATATTGTGACATCAATAGAATCTGACACTTCATCTTAAGTGATGGCAATTATTTTTCACTGAATGATGCAACTGTTGTGTGCTCTACCTCGTGGGGACTGGGACCTCTGTTAGAGCCCCCAGCATGACAGCCTGCTGCAGACGAACAAACGCCACGAAGGGAGTCTCCAGGAAGTCTACCTCTCCGACCAGCACGTTTGATGCCTCTGCATCACGGGGCAACTTTTTCATGAACTTATTCTTCAGCTGTTAGAGCAGAGAAGGAAAAGATAAGGTGAATGTCAGGCAGCACTGTAAGAATGTAGACAGGAGAAAGTAGAAAGGAGATCACACCACACAAAATCTTACTTCCTTTCTCTGTCACATTCAGTATGATCAATGATAGATATGACATTTGAAATAACTGTGGTGATTAAAATGTGATTAAAATATGACTGGTGGAGACTTGACGTCATGTTTTTTATAGTGTCTATAAGCACATAAGAACAGGCTGTACCCGCCCTTTCCTAGAATTATATGCTGAACAGCAGCTTGACTTCATGCCACCAATTAAAACACACTTTACTACAGCATTTTAAATTGCATCTACAGTCTCACACTAAACTGACATGCAAAAAAATCCACACACGAGTTGCGGAAGAAAGAAACCGCTCACTTGCAGGGAGATGATTAACTAAAGTATTGGTGTTATGTCAAAGGCCAGAACATTTTGACAAATCTACAGTTTCATTAACTGTTGCTGGTGTGTAATTCCATGTGTAACAGTTTAACTTGCTCTGTGCCACATATATGTAAACCACACTGCCAAATTATAGTTGGCTCCTCATTTGTAGTTGATAGAAACTCAACAAAAGGCGAGAAACAGTGAGCTTTTGTTGCATAAAGAGGAGGAGAAGGGGGGGAGAGAGAGAGAGAGAGAGAGAGAGAGAGAGAGAGAGAGAGAGAGAGAGAGAGAGAGAGAGAGAGAGAGAGAGAGAGAGAGCTTATCTATCAGTATGTGAGGCTCACAACCTGATGCATACACACAGCCCCAACACATGACCTTGCTTAGTGTGCTGCTTTGTGATTGTAGACCCTAAGTATCTGTGATTAGGTTGCATAATAGCTTGCATATCATCCCAATGCAATAATACCTGATCCTTCTCCGGTTTGTCGGAGAAGTCACTCAGGCTGTTGGAGGTGAGGTTTCGATGGGCAGTAGTTGGGCTACCTACAGAGAGGTAAGACAGTGTTAGGACCAGGTAAGACTGCAGAGATTCAAATGAGACATTTCTGACCAAGGTGGAAGATGAGTCCCAGAAAAGAAAGGTGCCAGGAAAGTACATGGAGAGAGCCAGAAACCTCAGGACCTAGCTAAATGTGGCAAGGCTTAAGCTTTAGGACTAATGCCAGATGATCATTCATTCAGACACTCGAGAGAGAGAAAGAGGAGAGCTGGGATACATGGTCATCTTAGGTCCGCTGCTTATGCGTCAGCAGAAACACACTTAGGCAACTATTGGCAAATGATTGAGAATGTAAACTTTGGAACTGAGTTTGATACCGTTCATTTGCTCATCCATTGTTACTGACAAAGTCTTCAACATTTTAGCTTTCTGTTGCCAAATAAATATTTAGTTAAGTACATTCTATTTTTTGCTTCAGTTTCTAGTCCTGAATAAACACACATCCAGCGTTTTAATGCAGTGGACTAAAGTAAGGCTCAGCTGTGTTTCACATTTGGGAATCTACATAGTTTTCTATGGCAGTATGTTCCAGCTATGCTGCTTTCAGTAGCTTGGACCTCACTTACAGAGGTATCCCATGCTGGAGCTCCTCGTGACCTCACATGGTTCCTCTGGGCCTTGTGGGGTTAAATAAGGCACACCCTGCTCAAGGGGGTTGCGTGCTATAACATCCCAGATGCAGGAGGTCAGAGACAGTATAGACCCAAAGAGAAGGTAAAAAAAAAGAGAAAAGGACAAGGAAAACAAGGTTGAGAAAAGACAAGAAGAAAAGGTTGCATTAGTAAAAAGAAAATCTCCAGTAGTTAGTGTTAGGATTTCAAATCAAAAGTAAGAAATCAAAGGACAAAGAGAATAAAAGCAGAATTTGTTCGAGTTAAGAGGGATTTTAAAAAATAAAATAAAAAATCCTTACCATTCTCCTGGTTGGAAAACAGCCTACTTGCACTGGAAACACTCTTGCCAATGTCGGCTAGGGAGCGCAAGTTGGACTTCTTGGTCTGGTGGCGATGCTTTCGTAGCAGCGTGTACATGACCTTCTCCTTCAGGTCCGCCTTCAGCTGACCGGTCTCAATCTGGTTGTCGGTGATCAGCTCTGTCAGAGGGAGAGATTGAAGATCAAGATTTGAGTAACCCTCGGGTTATTCGAAAGCAATGGAAGTGTGCCGGCATTCCGGTCTATCACACTTACCGACAACCTGTGGCAGTGTGGCGGCCTCCAGGTCCAGCATGATGGTGCCCTTCTCGATGCACGTTTTGAGTTCCATCAAGCTGTGCAAGGACAACGTGGCCACATGAGGCTTACTCCAGCGCTCGCCACCCTTCTCCACCTTCTCCTCGAACTTGATCCACCTAGACAGGGACAAAAGTAGGGAAAGTGTTGAGATTTTTTCCACCCCCTCAAACAGGTTCCTGAAAGTAAAGGTCACTGCAAAATAAAAATAAAAAGTAGATTACAGTGGCTTTATACGTTTATGAACAAATATGGGCTACAAACAAAAAGGAGACAAGATGGGTTCTCTTTTCTTTACAAAACAACCCCACAGTGTTTTGAATTGGCCACAGTTCACAAGGCAAAAATAGGGGACGCAGGACAGCGTAGAACTGACCTGAGAATATACACAGCATGCTGGAATGGCGACAGTCTATTGTAACTTTTACAACACACATGACTAAACATGAGAAACGTGACTGACATTACTACCATAGATGAGCTTAGCCTTGAAGGCAAGACTCAAGACAAGGATTCTTTTTAATAATAATGCCTCACATGTCACCACCACAAAGAGCCATTCTCCTAAAGCCTGAGGATGGGGTTTCCTCTGGGGATAGAGTATCCCTCTGGCTGTGGTCCAGACGCCTGTGACCAGCCGTCTTACTGGGAGAGGAGCCTGACCATGGAGACACTGCCGACCTCAAGGAGTTAATTTATCTTTCCTTTAATATAACCAACCAATGGTGACTCAAGTGACATCACTTGAGGTAGTTTATCAGACTTTGTGCAGCTTCCTCTGGAGACAACAGGCTTTATACAGCCCCCCCCATTCTGTATGAATATGCATATACTTGTATGCAGTAGGACTCCCCAAGACCTGCAAACAGACTTTGATGTGTAAAAATCAGCAGAGATCCCCTTTAAGAGAATATCAACTTTGTTGATCCCATGTAGGGAAATGTTATCCATTAGAGAATACAAACTAATGTGATGTTAAAAAAGTTACAATGTCCTTGCCAAAATATTGCATGACTGTGCCCTACTTGCCAACCTATCTGTGGCATAGCTGTGTGCTCAGACCCAGATGAGCCTTTCACCCACAGAACATTTGACTTTGTAATACTGAAACTATGACTTAATCTTTCTTATCTAACCAAACTGACAAACGTCTCACATGTGGACATTACAGAGCTATTTGAAAGTCATTCTGGACATTGACATAGGCAATTATTAAACAATGATATCCACATTTTGATAGACCAAACTTCATGTGCTCCAGAGCCAACTGTAACACTCAGTCTTGTTCTGACCATGTGGGAGTTTCTGCCTTTTCCTGGTCCCACAGAGCAGGTACTACAGATCTCAATCAGATAAGAGTAGACTGGGAGTTCACTGGAGTACGGCCTATTTCCCTACACATACAAAACACTCTTATTCATAAGGGATTGTTTTCCGCTGACTGCACCGGGATTGTTAAGCAGGAAATTTTTGACTATACTGCCTATGGCCCTTTAAAAAAAAGGGAGGGGGAGCGGGTGACAGATCTCATGCCTGGCTTAAAAGACATTCAGCTCAGCGGCTCACCTGGCTGTCTCCTTCCACTCCATCTCCTGCCCGTCCACAGCCAGCAGTTCGTCCAGCTCGGTGAAGAGCTGAGGTGGTGGGGGACCATCATCCTCCTCTCCCAGGATAAACCTGATCCTCTCAGCTGGAGAAACTGAAGGAAGGAAATGCGAGTTAGGGACCAACAATAAATTCTGCTTGACGTTTTTTTGGTGGCCCAAAAACTGTCAAATATTCCATCCAGTGGAATTTTATACTGAAGCTCAAATCTAGTTTAGCATGATTAAAAAATGATGGTGTTACTGATATTATGAGTATATGTGACTGCTATGCAGCCTTCTGGTTGGCTGTGAATTAACCTACTTAAGAAATAGGCCAGCTATAGATACTAACATATTGTTTAAACAGTTGTACATAAAGTGACATCATCGTGTAAACACTCCCCGATTCCCTAACTGCTCTGACTCAAGGCGTTTTCCACAGACTTAAAGCTGGCTTTATGCTGCTTTATTGTCATACATGTTTAGTTGATGAGTAGTGTCTTATACAATACTCCTCTGCTCGTGAGTGTGTTTCGACAATAAGGATGTATAAAAAAAAAGAAAACGTGAATCTTTACACGTTTGTTTCTGGCCATGTTTGTCTGCAGGGAAGGTAAAAACAGCCTCTCCATGCATGACAGACATCTCTTGACCAGAGCTTAAACACATGAAAGATGTGGTATTTAAGCAATAAGGAAAAACTGACAACACACCCTCATGACGAAGAACATTTCCAAGGTGTATAACTTTTACTTCCTTCTGAGAAAGGTGTGACAAGATCACTGTCACCAAACCGACCTGTGAATATTCGTCACTTAAAGTAAATGCGGCCTCCTCTCCAGAAATTGTGGCATAAGTAGCTATGACCTCGGGATTCTCCATGTTTGGCAAGAACCCTGTTCCTGCTTATACAGTAAAAAGAGAGTCCCAATGCATTTGTAAGCAGAAATACTTATTCTTGTTAACACTTCGAGGAATGTTGTGCAACTGTGAAGCCATGAGACAAAGTGAAGGTTAAGTGGTAAGTCACAAGAGGCTATTTATATAGCCTTCTCCTGATATAATGTACCAGCCAGTTGGGATTCCATGAGGATACCTAGACAACCTAAAAGTGCCTGTAACCTTTTAATCCTGATACAGTGCAGCCAAGCTTAATTTAGGTCGATTGGTTTTAAAATAGTACTCTTCTACTGTAGGGAGAAAATCTAATGTTAAGCTAGACAAAGGTCAAGATCAATGTCTTGGAAACGGCTTTAGGATACGGAACTCTTGGCGTTTCCCCTTCTCGTACAGCAGCATTATTGGACAGACACAGACAGACAGACAGACAGACAGACAGACAGACAGACAGACAGACAGACAGACACACACACACGATCTTTCAGTCTTCCTCATGACCACGGGGGCCTTTCTGTTGGCCTTTTGCTGGCTGGCTGACTAACAGAATCTGACTTTTACCGCAACACTTCTTGACGCCACATGGTGTACACAACACTGCTAACCTCTTAAGTCTCACAACTGTGTTATCAATGAAAACCAGGCCTTTGTTGTGGTTACACACAACTTTTAAGTGGACAGCTCCACAGGGTTTGCCAGAATCAACAGGATTATGGGGATTTAGATGGAGGGCAAAACAGCGGAAAATCCAACAAGTGGAGGGCTTCATGTGCACTGTCTAGCAGTGTGTGTTTTGAACTGTGGCTTTTGTCGTCTGGCCCACGTCAGCCTTAACGCTACCCACACATCCCGGACCATTATCTTGCATGCATGTTTATGTGCCTCTACAGCACACACAACTTACTCACTACCTCGACATTCTCACGCATGTTGCATGTAGGGAACATCATTTGAAAAATAAGGATGCACATATGCCTTTGCAAATATCCTAATGCACTTTAAATTAAAAATTGCAGTGAGCTAGAGGTGGAAGCAGAAGGATAGTAAAAGGGTGAAAGCAAGTTAGCAAGAGGCAAACATGCCCGCTCACTAAATAAAAGGGCAAAAATCTAATATGAAAATCTTTGCAGGGGGTCACTGAAGTGGTTTACTGCTCAACAGGAGAAAAATGTTTATCCCAACAGTGGCTCTAGCCTCATCATACAGTTGGTCCTGCCCTCTCATTCAACCATACAAGACTGTTTAGAGTCCAGATCTTCAACAGAGATACGGAACGTTGAGGAAGACGTAGGAGTCTCTGTGTGTGGATTGTGTGTGTGTGTGTTAAAAGGGGTCAGTTTAAAAACCTGCTTCTGTGTTTACTTTGGTTCCATGTCTTTCCCCTCCCGCCTGCTGATTTACAGTCTGATTCTATGGATGAACAACCAGCAACACTGTTTGCATTTACACGAAAGGTTGCCATGTTTGAACCATACACACCTAAAATGCTACAGGGTAAATTAAGGGCATTCACTTAAGAAGGGAGATTTGGAAAGGCCTTTAAAAAAAAAAAAAAAAAAAAAAAAAAAGGCTGTATCTGTAATGTTGACCGCTACTGACATTTAGGTTACAATTTATGATAAAATACACAATTTCCACCGCTACCGTTCTGAATTTTACGACACTGATAATGCTTAATTGACCAGGGATTAGTTATACAGCCATTATCAGATCAACAAATACTTAATCTAATTGCCTTTTATAGGTATATTGGTCTATCTGTTGCTCCAGTACCTTATGTAAGAGATGTCTAACTATTGGAAAAGGCTACAATTGTTTAAAAAAAAAAAAAAGATCCATGGTAATGCAGTTAACCTTTTACACATACTTTACCTGCAACCAAACTTTGACTCAGAGTAATCAGATAGGGCCTACAACATCTACACAGAGATTAACGTGAGCATAACTCTTATCATATCATGGCACCTTCAGGTGACTAAGCACAGAGACTGGTTTACACCTGAGTATGAGGTGTAACAAAGGAGGATTACAGCGTCAGAGGAGCTAGCAGTGTGAGAGGATTAATCAAGTGCTTGTCTGCTGCAAGTAGTCTGTGAACCGACAGCTTGATGTGATGCTGGCATGATCGAGGACGGTGTGATCATAGATTGGTAAACAAAACCAAGGTGAGGAGGAAATTTCCCCTCCCCTGATTTCCCATGCTAGGCATTACAAATCTATCACCCCACTTGATACTAAACTGATGATGTTCAAGCATCAAGACGGACATTCTCATCGCCACGGATCTGGATCAACTTGTGAATCCAGTTCAAATCCAGATCCAACTGTGAAAACAGACATGTGTAACTGAGGCACTGAATAAATGAACAATCACATGTTACAACACCAGGCTGTAACAGCTGCTGCATACAAAAAAAAGATTGTCAGATGATGAAACCGATGTAAATTCCTCATGACCCTCCTGATGCCCGATACTGCAGTCCCACCCTGATCTGTACCTCAAAGTATCAGTCCTCCTGTGTCTGATAGCTGAGTGTGTAAAATTCCTAAAATCCCGATTTAGAAACATCAAGTTTCTCCCTGAGATTAGATTTTTATTTTTCTCCCACAATTTCTTCAGCCAATCAATTACACATTTAGTTATGAAGCAAACGTGTATGAACCTACTGTCTGGTTCTGGCTAATTTTATTCTGAAACTCTGTTTGCAAAAGTTTTTCAAACTAAAAGCTTCTTTCTCTGCGGCACCTCATCTGCGCTGGTGTCCCTGCTTTGGCTTGCCTTACAGTTTTCTGATGTATCCACTACTCTACCAGCTTACCTTATCTATCGGGTGTTGCTCGAAACTAGGCTCCCACTGCAATCACTTTAGGATATCTCTACCGTATGCCCACAGAAAGAGCTTTCTGCTTCATGCACACGTGTCTGCAAATGCTGCTAGTAACAGCATACCTCTTGTTTACCCCTTTTATTTTTTAAAAACATGATTGCACATTGCACTGTAATTACCAGTTCAGCGCAATATCTTATAATTTTTGATTTGCATTTGTTTACCTTCAGGTATGTAGTGATGCTGCTGTCATTGTCCACACATGCCCGGATGAGTTGGGATGCAAATCCCCCCCCCCAAATTCCCATCCCATTCTGAGACCTTAATGGTTACCTCCAGCAAAAGTAAAGCAGAGTGTAAACACTTTCCCATTATTCCAGGTTCCACTATGTGCCATTTTAAAGGGAATTCCAGTATTGTGATAATTGTATGTCTTGCAAATAGCTGCTTTTAACCAGATTGAAATGTTTTGTGCTTTTAAAAACAAAACTACCCACCCAAGACGTTTGTGTGGTGATACAGAGCCTTCATCTAGGCTTAGATATACAACATGGGGATCCCCATACAATTATATGGCTCATTGACTGTACACTAATGCTAAATCATGATGTTAACTCTAAAGATTCTAGTGTTTTCCCACTTGTGTTACCATGTGAATTATTTTATATATATATTCTTGTTCATTCATATGGGTTAAAGCTGGCCTACATCTAAATACTAAATTATTATTCCTCCAGTTCAAGAAAACAATCTTGGGATTAATGGTTCTACCATGCTACTTTCCTAAGCTTCTATATAAGGAGAGACATCTGGTGTGCTTTCCTACAGCCGGAAGAAGACTCTTGCAACTGACAACAATCTTAAATGTGCATTTTGCATCTTTTTCTGCTTTGTTAACTAACATTCCTTTTGTGCCATTAGTAGATGGATTATTTCACATATTTGATCATTTTATGTTTATTTGTTCTTTCACTGCTCTTCTCAGTACTGAGGTTGTACCAGCCGCACTTCCAACCATCTGCCTGGTTTTTAGCTTCTGAGAATTCTCTCTCCCAAATCCCACAAAGCACTGTGTTAATGGTGACAGATAATACTCCTCTTGTATTTACTTTACACACTTTAAGCCAATCCAGTGTCATTTTCAGATTAGTATTGAAAGTGTTCCCATCCTCTTGCCCCCATTAATTCTGTTGAGTATAGGTTCCTGCATGGTGAATTTTTATTTTTTTTGCTTTCTTGGCTGCAACCCCACCCAGCTACTACTACAGAAGCACTGATATCCTGTAGGCTGTGATTTGCAGAGTGCTGCTGGACTTCATCCAGCTGACTTACCCAACATCTCGAGTGTGATATACTCATTACTAATGTGACTCCCGTAAATTATATTCTCCACCCCGGATGCTTTCACTGACTTTCACCAGTTTATCATAACTCACTGAGAGGTTTGAGGATGTTTGCGGGGGATTCGTCTGTGTTCTCCGCATCCGACTTGTATTCCGTGTGTTCCGTGCTCTGTTCGGGTCTTTCCCGCTTCTCCTTGTGGCTAGACTTGCGTCTGTGGCGTCTCCTCCGGTGGTAACTCTTGGGAACATGCACGCCGATGTACACAGTGTGGTGACCTGGCGCAACACAGCACAATAGAGGGAACACGGATCAGATTACACTCACAAAAGGAAATCACATTAATCCTGAAAGCTAGTAATCTGTTATCACTGCTGGAAAAACAATGCCGATTGGTTGATCTGGTGTTATGTGGTAGGAAATGTTTGCTTATGACAAGGCTGCTTTGACACTTTTTTGGGGGCGGTGAGACTGTTGGTGGGAAACTATGTGTTGCTCATTTCCCAATCAGGAAGAGATACAGCCTGCTGTCAATCAGTCACACTGCAAAATTAAATAAATGCCAACTACTTCCGACACAGCAGCTCATACAAGAAATGATGACTTCATGTCTCCAGGAAGTAATTAGAGAGACAGAGAAGGAGAAAGAAAAGCCTTACAAAAAGCGGGCTTAACTGCCCGAGTTGAAGCAACCATGTATTTTTCCGTTCAACCATTCATTCTATAAACATGTCTTGTGGGTTTTAATAACATCTTTCACACTGCACAGTGGTCAGTCATGCATCCTTGTAGAAGCCAAAAAAAAACACCTGAGGTGCACACTAAACAAAGCGCTTCCACCACATTCCCATGAAGAGAATATGCAGAAACAGCTCGACATAATGCCAAAATCTCTGAAAGGCTTCTCTTTGTGTGCAACCTTAAAATGTTGGTTTGTGAAACATGTGAATGTCTCAGCAAATGCATGAGGGCGTCTCCAGATAAATTCTTTTGTGGCTTAAGCCAAGAGGCTGCATTGGACAGGATTAGGACACTTTAAGAAACATCTTCCTGTACAGCTTAAGTGGAAATGTATTCATTCAGTGCTGTGCTGACACTAGAGGGGACCCGACGGTTTTCATCGGGGTAGATGAAGGGATAAGTTAAAGCTTATCACGTGTCAGTCAGCTAGATAATGTGCTGGTAGATGTGGTTTTACCTTCCACTTCCCCTTCATCGCAGACATGCTTGAGAAATGATGCTCCTCTGTCCAAGACTGCTTCATCCTCCACTCTACAAGAAAAAAAAAAGTGTAAAAACTGATTAAATATGGATCACAACAACATGAAATATTCTTGCAACTATAGGTCTAAGAAAACATTCTGCCCCAATTTCTTTCAGTTTATCACCACCATTCCCACCAACACCAGCCAGTTTGTAAAAACACATGAAACATATACATTTATAAAAAATATATACTTAAACAATGAACAAATGACAATTCTTCAAATTAATTCAAATCAAAAAAACTGTTTAACCAGTGTCAGTTGCAACCCTCAGGCCAATAACAATCAGGTCACAGTAAAACACTATCCTGTAATGGACTCCAATTCAGCCACTTCTTATCCAGCTTACTAATGCTGCTGAATATGAGCTCACCTGTCGACCTCCAACTGTTGCACAACAACCAAAAAAAAATGACTACATGTGACTATGAGATCAATATCAACTGCATTGCAAGACTTTGAAAGTAGCTGGCAAGCTTTAGAGTGCATTAGTGTTCCTGGCACTATGGCAATTACACTCACATATGACGAAAATTGACTGACAATCATTCTGGACTTTCTAGTGCACAAAGAAGGCTTTATGTTTACTTCCTGTTCCCAACAACGTCAGAGACATCTTCATTAGCTACGCGACCTGCAGTTTACTTTGATCACCAAGCCCCAACCTTCCTGAAGGGTTGAAAGGAATGTGGCTCCTCCAGTGCAGCAAAGTGTAGACTAATGGAGGCCACGAAAGGTGGTTTAGGCTGCAACATATTGCACACCCCAGTCTCAGAATATACTTTTGCCAAAACAGCAACAAATGGAAAAAAACAAAAACAATGGCTTCTAAATGTAAACAGTAAATAAAAACCGTAGCATTTCATGACACTGGGAATACATTTCTACTGAGGCCTCATCTAGCCTGTGCCTCATAGTCAGTTCACTCTGTCAAACTGTTGAGAGACTACATAAGCGTGTCAGTATCAAATTAAGAATTCATCTGCCGTGGCTGAAATGACCAACCGCTTTAGGAGAATAGTTTTGTTAAACAACAAAAAGTAAATATTTGATTTGGGATGCGTATCAAGAATGTCAATAAACACATCAACAGTTTCCATTTGCCACTGAACAATCCCCAACTGAGGATGACACGATTCGAAAAATGAGGGGATGGGAGCAGTACACAAACCGCTAAATAAACACAGCCAGGAAGGATACAACTTGTTCCTCCGATTGCACAGCGAGCTCATCTGAATTCCCCCCGGTGGATATGGTATCTGGCCTCGAGGGAGAGATAGAGGTACTTTCTGATAAGCAGACGTAAATGTTGAGCCACCCGGCTTGGTGCCAGGTTTACAAGCAATGCTAATACACAGATTAGCCTCTGTACCCTCCTTTTGTTGCTTACAAAAAAGAGAGGTCAAGTTCCCACACAGTGCCGTGTGGAGAGGGTCGAACACTATCATTTAGCTCCAGATTTCATTGTGTGTTCTCTTCTGCTTGTACTCCTCCAGGACAGAGTGTACAAAAAAAAAAAAAAAAAAAAAAAAAATAGCAGCAGCTTCAGGGAGTTACTTTTATGAAGGACTTGAACTCAACCAGTAATCTTAATACAGCCTAAAGTGTTGCACACTGGATGCACATTCAAAATGCAAAAACTATACAAACAAATGGGTGTTGCTATTTTAATTCATTCTTGCACAAATATAGACCATATGGGGAAAATGGGCTTCAGGATACTTCCGGGAACTCAGTCTTGTAGCCTTACTTCTGCAACAGGTACTGAAATGTTGGTGATGGTTTGTGTGTATGTGTGTGTGCGCACATGGAGGAAGGGTCATGTAACACAGCGAGAGGGCCTTCAGAAAACCGTTGGCCACACAGGCGAGCAAAGGAAGCTCATGTTGCATGGTTTACTGCTGGCTATAGCCGGTCAATAGAGCCATGTTAATCACTGAGGCCTCGGACAGGGAGATGAGACATGATGAGAAACATACCACAGGTGGCACATAGACATGCAAGATGCAGTAGAAGAGTTCTGCATTCCTGTTTTGAATGGAGTGCTAAGTCAAAAACAATTAGACCGGTCCGCAAAGTGGAGTGAAATGACAAAGAAAGAGACGATGTGAAGAGAGGATAAGAAATCTGCTCTTCAGCATTAGTCAGCAAACTCTACATGACTTCAGGTTGCAGAGAGCAAAATGGAGCCTAAATACATTTCTTGTGCATGAAAACATGAGGCAGATAAGATCCAGCGTCTCTTCATTTACGTCATAGTAAATGCAGGAAATCTTCTTGATCTTCTTTTTCATTTCCTGCTAGGACTTTGTCTGCTTAATTGAAAAAAAATAAATAAAAAAAATTGCTGGGTGAGGGTCAGAGCAACCAGCTGCATCCACCTCACGCTGGCGAACATCTCACTTTGCTTCTGTTCTCGTTGGTGACCTCATGAGGCTGGATAAACCTGTCGCTGCGTGAGGAGCCAGGATCAGCTGCTCGGGATCAGGGATCATCCCCATCTCTTTACAGAGTGACGCACCCAATCCCACCAGCCAGGTTCACCATGAGGATGGGTGCCAAGCAATAAGGAGATGATTTTGGAGCCTTGGTAGTGATACTCTGACAGTCAAAACATCACTTTTGGTTAAACACCCAGAACCAGAGGGCTCGAGAAAGTGGCTGTGAAAAACTTTCAGCTCACCTCCGACAGAAAGAAGACGAATGCAGCCACCTAAAAATAAACTTTTATGTCGAAAAGTTAAAGCATTAAAAAGCTCATAGAAAGTGCCTCGTGCAGAGTAATCAACCTTGTAGCAAAGGAAACTTTTTATAGCCATCTTTCAAGCCTAAGGGAGGTGATTTGTACTGAAAGGAAAGTACACTTTGTTATTTTAGGGCTGCAATTAAACATTTTCATTATCATGTCTATAAAAAAAATAATGTTAAAGTGAAAAATGTCTATTCCAGCTCCCTAAAGTCACAGCTTCAGATGTCTTGTTTTGTCCAACCAACAATCCAAAGCCCAAATGTGCTTAATTTACAATAATTTAAAGAAAAAAGAAAGAGCTGGGATGAGAGTATGTTTGAAGTTTTGGGTTTTAAATATAGAAGGTTGCGGCAGTAGTTTATAGGTTTAGCAATTGAAGTGTGGAGGAAAAAAAAATTCTCATGAAGCGAGGTTAAAAAAAGGAAACATTTAAAGTCATTATGCATTCTCATATGCTTCTCAGGTCCGCCTCGCCTTTTGGAATTTCCTCTTGAATGGATGAGGAAATGGATGGATATCTATTTGCACAGAACATCACTCAGCAGTGCACAAAAGAGCATTCACAATTCCAGTCAGCACCAAGAGGAAGAGTCACACCAGTGGACTGACAGCACAAAGTAAAGCGAACATTTCCCCATTGCAACCAGACAGAAGAATGAGGAATCTGTTTTAGTTTTTATGGTTTCTCCTGTCATTGTTAAAGAGTGTACCCACTCGTGTTAAGCCACCATAGGTCACTGTACACTTTGAGGAACTGTGTGCAACCTTGTAAATATCAGGGACCAGGCTGATAAACGTATATCTGTGAGTAACTCACACTGGCTGCAGGTGATGATTATGAAACAGCTGCTGAATTCCAGCTGCATGTCAGAAAAGTGCATACAGAGCCCCAAGTGTTTTTCCGTGTTTGATAGTACTCTGGCAACCGCGTCATTGCGCAACGTGGACGCACGTTGGCCCGAGGCTGAATGTGGATTTTTGGGGTGTCAGCTCATAAATCCACATGGTCTGTGAGGAGTACACACAGCTTTGCTCATAAAGTTGCACCAGAGACACTTCTCCAGCACTTGGCCTGCGCTCGCTGCGATCTCCCTTAATTGATTGTGACAGGTTCTTAGAAAATAGATTACCGGCCGTTCATAGCCAGAGCGATGCGGCAACAGTGGTTTATCCAGCCAAGAGTGCAACACCAATGAATGAAAACATTTATTAACTGCACTAGAAGTCTAAATCAATACTCCACTGAAGTTTCACCAAAAAGGCACGGCAACCAGTGAACCAAACCCAGATTTACGCACAGAAAACCCTCAAATCCCACGGGACAACACGCCGAACGCGTTTCAGTTTCATATCAGTAGGTGGATGATATTCACCTGATGCGTAATTTGCACCTTTCCACCTGGCCAGGAAATGCCCTTAAGGTAAGGACGGCAAGCTACAAGGTAAAAGTTCCCAAACGGCCACCCAGCTTTAAGCAGTTAAACTGAAAATAGCAGAGGTGATAAACTTACTTCTTTTCGGAAGTCATGGTGACGAACTTCGCCTTCCTCTTCAAGTTGTAGACGGTGTTTGAAAATCTTCACCTACTCTTAGCTGTCGCGCTTTTTTTCCTCTCTCTCCCCCCCAAGTGGATAAACGTGACAAAGAAGTCGAGCAGCTGGAGCTCTTTCACTGGAATGATTTCTCCGACTCTACAAATCTAATTTAACGCGTAACCCACGATCCTCATATCGTGATGGACTTGTTCAGGTCGTGCCTCGGTGACATCGTAAAATATAGAGGCTCGTTTGGTATCTTGCTGGAAGCGTGTGGAGAGACTCTGTGAGCGCAGCGTGTCTTTTTCCATATTTAAAGTGCCATCCCTCCTCCTGCGTGACGCCACCGGGGGGTGGAGGTCAGAAAGTTACTGTTGGGTGGCGCACCAAAACCTCTTACTTGACAAGTGGTTTTCTCTATTGTTCGCTTTGTATGGAAAGAATCACATTATAATTTCACCGGATGTGTCAGATCATATGAATATGAAAGCACTCAAACTGGAGCGCTTTCTCTGCGTTTGGATACGAAACCCAAAAGTTTTGGACCAGTTTATAGCTTTTATCATTTTAACAAAGATTACTTTACACTTTTATTATTAATAATGGCAGAACATTTGTCATTGTTTTATACTTTTGTCACACACCTGGACTCAACTAGTCGGTGCTGATTTATTTATTCATTATCATTTATTACTTTTCCCACCCGTGCGTCAATAAAGTTTCTTCACCTTGCTGTTCATTCTGATCTCTTTAATTATAAGCAAATTAAAAAAGGCACCTATTTCAGGTAGGTTTAATCATTCATATTGAAGCTACCAGGTAAAGGCGAGCTCAGCAGTCAGAAATAGCTGCTGTTATGGAGACTGGCGACATCTTCTGGAAGAGTTGGAAGACTGAGACAGGGGCCAGTTGAGAATCTGTGGAAATCAGTAACTGGATCTCTGCTTTTAACTAAACTAAAAAGGATTTTCATTCTTAAGACACACACACACACACACACACACACACACACACACACACACACACACACACACACACACACACACACACATATATATATATATATATATATATATAAAAAAAAAAAAAAAAAATAAGACAACAAAACACTGGAAAGTATTTCAGATATTTCAAGTTTATTGTCATTTGTAAATGGACCACTGGACATATAATTCTCATTTGCACACAAAACACTTATATATACACACACACACACACACACAACTGTAAGAAAACAGTAATAAAAGTTTTCAAATTTTACAGGCCAGATCATTTTTAATGACTGTATATAAAAAAAAGTCATTATTTAGGCATTTCATTGTTTTAAAATTAAAACTCCATCCACTTTGTCCTCCTTTGGGCACCGATTAGATTTTCCATCACCAGCGGATCTTTACAAAGAGCTCAAGAACTCCTTCACCTGAAAAAGAACCACAACAGTCAAGATGTTAGCATTAGCGAATACCAACATCAAGGCAATCTTATCTTTCATTTTCTTTGTTTGGTTCCAACTTCTGTCCTGGGTGACGCCAACTTCTTGCTAAAGACTTTCAATGAAAGTGCAATCTCTAAAAAAGCGTCGGTGTTTTCCATCAACGTGAAACTGCTACATAAGCAGCTCTTCAGGCCCTCATTTCCATAAGTGAAACCTGAGTGTGTGAATGTGTGTGTGTCAGTATCTGAGAGATCACACTCAGCACAGTGCATGAAACGTCCTCAAAAACACAGTTCAAGTACTAACTAATGTTTTAAAAGGTTCACAGTGAGTTTGTGTTTGAAGTTGATTTCCCCCCCCCCTTTGTTGGAGAATGACTTTTGAAATTTGAGTTTGTTTTCTAATGCCATCATTGCAGCATTTTGATGTTGCAGCTGGTGGAGCCATTTTTAGCTACTTTAAGGTTGGATAGTTTTATGTAAAGCAATGTTATAGTCATAACCTCATCTTTTATTTATACGGAATATACCTTTGGTAACTAGTGGCTACAGCTGTCACAATATTTATATATATAAGTATGTAATATATAAGTACAATATTTCTCTCTGAAAACTAAAGTAGAATTATTAAGTAATCCAGCAGATGGGGTTATAATATACTACTAAATTATCCCCCTCAGTGGGATTTATAGTAGGTAAAAAAAAAGCCAACGGGATGTTTGGCTCATGTAAATTTCCCCTCAACGTCCTGTTGGATGGAGACCAAGCATTATTTGATTAGGCTAGTAAAACTAGGCCTAACCGTCACTTACCTTCTCTATCATGTCAGCGCTCTTTGTTTTATTCCCCTTAAAGTCCTCATTCACATCTATGGTCAAGACTGGCACGTCATTGAGGTACTCAAACTCCATGCTGCGGGCCAGAGGGGACATGGGAGACAATTAGTGATGCTTAAAAAAAAATATTCACCTCCAGGAGCATCCTTTTTCCTGTGGCTCAACTTATCTATTTCATGGTGAAAGCTTTCATCTTTGTAAGAAAAATCTTGTGTACACAATGGAAGCCAAACAACCCATTTCCGGCCTCATCAATCTCTTCAAACACATCGCTGTGGCAGATGCAGATCACATGTGTCCAAAGCTGCTTCGGCCCTCTAAGTTGCCCTCAGGTTATTGCATTAATGGGGTCTAATGACCGAGATCAGTCAGATAACACCCTTTTCTTCTACGATACAAATACATCGTTTGTCCTCGCGGAACTGCATGCAGTTTCTGACGCAAAACGTGCAATAAAAGTCTGCGTGCATGTGTTTGTGTGGGCTCACGTCATGGTCTTGTGCTGCAGCCAGCTCTCGTGCTTAAAGTGGAGCTTCTCCAGATACTCCAGAGGGATGTCTTGCTCTTCTTCTCTGCCTCTCAGGTGCAACCGCTCTAAACATCTCTACAAAAACACACATGCCAGAAGGAATTATTGACGTATTTGTGTAGTGCCATTTAATTTTTTTCCTCTTTATGGTCAAGAGTGATAACTTCGTTTTTTCCAAAGCAAAAATCATTCTATTTAGGTGCAGTTGAATAACAATGAAGTAGAAGAACAGAAGGGAGGATACCTCTGGCAAAGCTCTGAGGTAGATGATACCGTCCAGCTCGATGTTCTTGCCAAACTGGTTGTGCAGCCAGCCATGCCAGTCCTGGTAGATGGACCACTCTGTCTCATTCAGGCACTCACTCTCATAGAGGTTGGCTGCAAAGATGTACCTGGTTGAGACACGAGGGCGTATTAACGGGCAAAGTTTCAACTTGTAACATATTTTAAAAAAACAAGACCAAATCTTTTTTTGCATGTTACAGCAGTTATTTTTTTAAATTAAGATTCAGTGCATTCATGAGCAACAATGTATGCATGCTCTCAATACACAAAGAGTGTACGTTTCACAATGTATGTGTTAATATAAAGTACAGTTTATTATTAGAAATGGTGAAAAATACCTTTTACAATTTACTAGAGCCCGTGGTAACATCTCCAAATTGTTTGTTTAGTCTAATTAACAGTCAAAAAACGAAAAGTTTACAATGAAAGAAACGAGAAAAGGCACAAGATTCACAAATTAGAGAAGCTTGAGCCGGAGAATGTTTGATGTATTTGGTTGAAAAATGACTTTTGTTAGTGAATTTTCGACAATTTGTTTCAACTTTACCAAAAAAATACTCACAATAATGGATCCAGTTTAATGTTGGTGCAAAGACATTATCATACTTGTATGTGATTTGTAGTTAATAGTCTTAAAATATACAAATTCACTAGTATGGCCCTTTTAACAAAAAAAATCTACTGAATTCTTTTCATCATGTTTACACGTTTGTTGATACCTGTCACTGTAGATGGACCGCTCGAAGAACTGCACGGGATCCTCGGCCTCTCGGAGCTTCCCGTTGGCTGACCTCATCTGAGCACGCACCCGGCTGATACAGGCGTAGCTCTGGAAGGTGTAGGCCCACCTCTCCGGTTTGTCATACATCATCTTTAATACGTTCCCTCCACTCCTCTGAGAGTTGGTCAGCTCCTAGAACATAAAAAGGAATAGGGTGAATTTAAAACATGTTCAAAGTGAATACCTCTCCCACTGAGATCAGAAAATCGGTTGCAATTATAGCTTAGTGTACAGTCCAAGTATTTGTAAGTATAAGTATCATATTGGTGAAAATGTGGTAATTATTTGCAGTGGCTGGTGGATATGTATAGACTAGGGTTTATAGACATTATATCAAGCTGTAAGGTGACATTAGTTGTATTTACTCTAAGGCTGTAACTGAAGACTGTTTTCATTGTTGATTAATCTGCTGATAATTTTCTCAATCCATCATTTAGTCTACAAAATGTCAAAAGCTGTGAAACAATTCCAACAAATTCCCCACAATGTATTTTTATTTTTTGTATTTTAATACTCTCTGGACATGTCACCTTCCTACTTACTGTGAAAATCACAACATCCAAGACTAATGATCCAGGCAGGAATTTCTTAAACTCATTCAGCCCATATAAAAAGGGCTTACCTATGATGACTTAAGTGAAAATTAACCCATAATAAGGCATCCAATTTTTCCAAATTCCCACTCAGTTCCCTGTAGCTTATCACAGGGAACTGAGTGGGAATTTGGAAAAATTGGACATGAATGAATCTGTTGAACTGTTGAACCCCACAGCTCTGCAGAACTCACTCTGTCCCATGATCAGCAGAGGGCGCATGATCAAACTACAGCAGCTGTACACACTGTGCGATGCAGAGTTTGGCCTTGTTAGAGGACTCCTAAACAGCTGTGCATACTTATAATACCCCCACACTGTCATTTTACACTGTACCATACAGTGTGTAATGCACTTTACTATAACATTTTGCACAGTTTACAATTATACTGACAGAAAAATAATATCTTTCTGGTGATTTCAGCTTTAACATTACAATATCATTCTTAGCTCTAACAATAATAAGAATAAGAATTATAGCTATTAGAATTATAGCTTTCCAAGTAAAAGAAAACTTTTTAAGAATTATTTTTGGGCTTTTTATTGTGGGGGATGACATGCAGCAAAGGGACACAGGTTGAACTCAAATCTGAGCCTTTGTACATGGGGCACACCCTGTATCAGGTGACCTACAAAAAGGCACCCACAAAAGGCACCACACACACAACTCAGTTTAAATATGAAAATGTCTCGTGGAAAACAATTTTGTCTTGGTCATGTTGACAGATTTAGTATGCAAAAATAATCAAATAAATACAATTGAAGTAGAACGGACAACGGACATGATTAGTTGATAAATCAATCAACAAAAAAAATAATCAGCAACAATGATGACAAATTACGATAAATAGGTCAA